TGCGGCTAATGATGCTGCCGATTCACAACAACCCAAAATAGCTTAGAAAAACTAGAGCACAATAAGCAAAACAATGGCAAAAAAGACAGATTTTTTGCCATTGTTTACAGAACATAAGAACAGCCAAACGACCCTAAACTCAAGTTTTGTGTGCCAAACGATCGCCCCAACTAGTATGTCGTTACATATGAGATCTGTCATTTTTGGCTGTCCACGCAGAGCATCAGAATTTGTTCCTTTTTCTGAGTTGAGCATGCATCCCTTGAACACGTTTAGTTGATTTCGATTCAATATTCATGTGGTTTTTGGTAATGTAATTTTGTAGAAGTACTGTACCATAATTTCGATTCAAGATAAAGAATCATTTCTTGTAATGCCAAGACATTCAATTCAGTCCTAAATTTTGCTATCCCGTTTTATAGGCTATTCTTTTGTCTAAAGTATTCCTCCGTAAATTAGTTGGCTATGCAAAAATTTAAATTCTACTAAAGGTACGCAGTCGACTAAGTCGAGATAAGATCTTAGTGGTTTGGAGGTTTAAAGAGCTACTGAGCATCATTTCTGGGCTGAACTTGATATACATGGCAAAAGAAATTTATACTATTGCAGCCAATAAATAAACTAGGATGGAATAAAATCACCCTGACTCACTTTTGTTAGCATCCTTTTTGCAAGTATGTGATAATGCCGTTGTCAAATTCGTTGTCCGACCATTGTAGCCACCAAGACACTATAAAATATTCCAATTAAAGTAAAAAGTCCCAGCACAATCAATGCCATTATAAACAGCAATGGTAGCCCTGCTTCACCAGCACCTCCTAGGCAACCACATTCACCTGCCATACTTGCACAGCTCTCAAAGCATGTGGTGCAGTCGGTCCACATACAAAGAGTGCCGGGTAAATGACAGTCCGCACAGACACTACAAGAATTACAAACAAGCCGGTTACCATGTTAGGTACTGAGTATTATAGGGCCATTTACAAGGTTCAGTTAGTACTACATAGTACATACATCAAAGATAGCAATAAAAAAATAATAAATTAAAATAAAATAAAATAAAAAACTCGCTTCGTTGTGGCACACTCATGACAGCCTATAATCACCATTATATCACCGGAGGAAGTACATTTGCTAGATCCAGTAACCAAGCCAACAACCCCATTGCTTTATTTACTAATAAGTTAAATAGCCACAAAATTCGGACTTGGTTGTTCACAGTTTAGTCCCAAATCGTGTTGTCCTTGGCTTTGGTCCATTGTCTGTTTTGTTTTCTTTTACTTCCCTTGTGTATATATATATATATATATGTTTATAGTTATATACAATTGTGCGTACGTGTTTTTGTTTGTGGCTTCTTATTTGTGCGGGATGATGCTTTTGGTGTGTGGTGGTAGATGCCAAGAGGGGGCAATGATGAGGACACGACTCTTCATTGGAATCAAAAGCAGAAGGAGGAGTTGTTGCAACTCCTAGCAGAGTATAACCGTAACTACCATGGTCGGAAACCGGTCCAGAAAAATTGGGAAGATTGGGCTACTAAGCTACAAAAACATTTTAAGGATCCAGTTACGGCGGCCAAGGTTCAACAGATGCGAGTGCGTCTAAAAGGCAAGTTTGATAAGGAGGTTATACTACGTACAACCACAGGCCTTGGTTGGGATCCTGTGACAGGCGCAGTGACTTGTACGGACGAGTATTGGGAAGATTTTGCTAAGGTAATCACCAGTTGTTTGTTTTCCTTTCCCAAATTATTTATCATCAGTTAGAACATGTGTTCAACGTGCGTTAGCTTATGTGGATGTTATTTTTCACACAGAACAAGAAGTGGGCTAATGCTGCGAAGAAGCATCCCCTTAAAAATTTTGACTTGTACTACGAGGCCTTTGGTAGTACCCGTGCATGTGGTGAATTTGCGGTGGGATTGGAAAATCCCACCACCGCGCACGTAGACACAACTCCAATCCCGGCTGAAGAAGGTGAAGGGGGGGCGACGTCGCATTCGTTAGGCAGCGATGACATTTTTGTGACCACGATGTGAGCTGGGTTGAACAGTGCTAGGAAGGGCTTGAATGTTGCATCCACCTCTAAGGCAATTGGTAAGAAATCTGGACGCAGTCAGAAACGTCCGGTTGGCGATCCAGAAGCAAGGGCACTACTTGGACGACTTGTAGCCTCTATAGAAAGTAAGAATAGTAGCAGGGCTACCAGTTCCAGCGCTTCTCAGAACCCTGCGACCCCTACCACTCTGCGGCAGTGTACAGCGATTGTGAAGGAAATGGATCTTGAAGATGAACATGTCATAATATTCTTAGAGGCCATTGGGTGGTTTCCACACATGCAGCAACTCTTTTTGGATATGACAGAGACGCAAAGGGTTGGTTTCGTGATGAGAACCGTTACCTCTAAAACGAGTCAATCTACCCAATCTTGCACCATGCCCCCTCCATCCATGGCTTCCAACTTCATGCAGCCCCCTATATATCAAAACTTCATGCCGACACCCAACTTTTACCAACAACCGCCAATCTATGGCCAACAACCTCCTACCTTTGGCCAACCACAAGTACCCAGTTTCTCTCAACCCCCTCACCACGTGCAACCACAACACCCACCAATCCAAAACATGACCCCAAATGTTACTCCCCATCCCCCTAACTTTCAATGTCCACCACCCTATTACATGCCTAGTTTTCCACCTAACTCTGGTCATTTTGGTGGAGGAAACAATGAGGAGTAGCTACTTGTTAGGCTTTTTAATTATGAGGCTCTTTGTCTACGAGACTTTTTATTTATGAGGTTTCTTATTTATGAGGCTTAGACAGTGTCGGACAATTTTCTTAATTATGAGGCGTTTAACTATGTTGTAATCATTTATTGAGTTGTGTTGTACTTCGAAACTATTACTTCGTTTGCTTTCTCTTTCAATTAGTGTTCTGATGACATGATGCAATTTGCATTAATGACTTTACTTGGTAGTGACTCTTATACTTTGCCATTACATTATTGCACAATTTCAACATTAACTATGTTGTACTTGTGACTTCTACTATAGCAGATTTGGCGAACAGGTTGTAATGTGGAACGGAGGGCCTTCGAACGCGTCGCCTGACAACACAATAGACGATGACTCAGATGATGACTATGAGACAGTAGGTGTCGCGGCTATGCTCTGGTATTACCAAACCTACGTTGAGAGACCCCCACCTCAACCTAAACACACCTCCGCGTTCACAAGTATTATGCGTGTTGATTACTTGCTTGATGTTCATGAGGACGTAATTCGGAATAAGATTAGGATGGGCAGTGACTGTTTTAAGCGACTGAGTTCACTCTTAGAACTTAAGGGATATCTGAGACCCACTAGGAATATGAACGTGGACGCAGCTTTTTAGTGTTGATTACTTGCTTGATGGTCATGAGGACGTAATTCGGAATAAGATTAGGATGGGCAGTGACTGTTTTAAGCGACTGAGTTCACTCTTAGAACTTAAGGGATATCTGAGACCCACTAGGAATATGAACGTGGACGAGCAGCTTTTTATCTTTCTATACATTGTGTCCCAAAGCCAAAGCAATAGGGAATCGCAAGATCAATGGCAGCATTCTGGATCCACAATTTCCAAATAATTCGAGGCTGTATTGGCGGCAATATATAACCTGTGGCATGATTTCATAACACCCCCGAATTTTAACATTATTGATCCAGTCATTACTGCGAGTGGAAGCAAGTATTTGCCATGGTTTAAGGTATAAACTCAAGTTTTGTGTGCCAAACGATCGCCCCAACTAGTATGTCGTTACATATGAGATCTGTCATTTTTGGCTGTCCACGCAGAGCATCAGAATTTGTTCCTTTTTCTGAGTTGAGCATGCATCCCTTGAACACGTTTAGTTGATTTCGATTCAATATTCATGTGGTTTTTGGTAATGTAATTTTGTAGAAGTACTGTACCATAATTTCGATTCAAGATAAAGAATCATTTCTTGTAATGCCAAGACATTCAATTCAGTCCTAAATTTTGCTATCCCGTTTTATAGGCTATTCTTTTGTCTAAAGTATTCCTCCGTAAATTAGTTGGCTATGCAAAAATTTAAATTCTACTAAAGGTACGCAGTCGACTAAGTCGAGATAAGATCTTAGTGGTTTGGAGGTTTAAAGAGCTACTGAGCATCATTTCTGGGCTGAACTTGATATACATGGCAAAAGAAATTTATACTATTGCAGCCAATAAATAAACTAGGATGGAATAAAATCACCCTGACTCACTTTTGTTAGCATCCTTTTTGCAAGTATGTGATAATGCCGTTGTCAAATTCGTTGTCCGACCATTGTAGCCACCAAGACACTATAAAATATTCCAATTAAAGTAAAAAGTCCCAGCACAATCAATGCCATTATAAACAGCAATGGTAGCCCTGCTTCACCAGCACCTCCTAGGCAACCACATTCACCTGCCATACTTGCACAGCTCTCAAAGCATGTGGTGCAGTCGGTCCACATACAAAGAGTGCCGGGTAAATGACAGTCCGCACAGACACTACAAGAATTACAAACAAGCCGGTTACCATGTTAGGTACTGAGTATTATAGGGCCATTTACAAGGTTCAGTTAGTACTACATAGTACATACATCAAAGATAGCAATAAAAAAATAATAAATTAAAATAAAATAAAATAAAAAACTCGCTTCGTTGTGGCACACTCATGACAGCCTATAATCACCATTATATCACCGGAGGAAGTACATTTGCTAGATCCAGTAACCAAGCCAACAACCCCATTGCTTTATTTACTAATAAGTTAAATAGCCACAAAATTCGGACTTGGTTGTTCACAGTTTAGTCCCAAATCGTGTTGTCCTTGGCTTTGGTCCATTGTCTGTTTTGTTTTCTTTTACTTCCCTTGTGTATATATATATATATATATGTTTATAGTTATATACAATTGTGCGTACGTGTTTTTGTTTGTGGCTTCTTATTTGTGCGGGATGATGCTTTTGGTGTGTGGTGGTAGATGCCAAGAGGGGGCAATGATGAGGACACGACTCTTCATTGGAATCAAAAGCAGAAGGAGGAGTTGTTGCAACTCCTAGCAGAGTATAACCGTAACTACCATGGTCGGAAACCGGTCCAGAAAAATTGGGAAGATTGGGCTACTAAGCTACAAAAACATTTTAAGGATCCAGTTACGGCGGCCAAGGTTCAACAGATGCGAGTGCGTCTAAAAGGCAAGTTTGATAAGGAGGTTATACTACGTACAACCACAGGCCTTGGTTGGGATCCTGTGACAGGCGCAGTGACTTGTACGGACGAGTATTGGGAAGATTTTGCTAAGGTAATCACCAGTTGTTTGTTTTCCTTTCCCAAATTATTTATCATCAGTTAGAACATGTGTTCAACGTGCGTTAGCTTATGTGGATGTTATTTTTCACACAGAACAAGAAGTGGGCTAATGCTGCGAAGAAGCATCCCCTTAAAAATTTTGACTTGTACTACGAGGCCTTTGGTAGTACCCGTGCATGTGGTGAATTTGCGGTGGGATTGGAAAATCCCACCACCGCGCACGTAGACACAACTCCAATCCCGGCTGAAGAAGGTGAAGGGGGGGCGACGTCGCATTCGTTAGGCAGCGATGACATTTTTGTGACCACGATGTGAGCTGGGTTGAACAGTGCTAGGAAGGGCTTGAATGTTGCATCCACCTCTAAGGCAATTGGTAAGAAATCTGGACGCAGTCAGAAACGTCCGGTTGGCGATCCAGAAGCAAGGGCACTACTTGGACGACTTGTAGCCTCTATAGAAAGTAAGAATAGTAGCAGGGCTACCAGTTCCAGCGCTTCTCAGAACCCTGCGACCCCTACCACTCTGCGGCAGTGTACAGCGATTGTGAAGGAAATGGATCTTGAAGATGACACTGTCATAATATTCTTAGAGGCCATTGGGTGGTTTCCACACATGCAGCAACTCTTTTTGGATATGACAGAGACGCAAAGGGTTGGTTTCGTGATGAGAACCGTTACCTCTAAAACGAGTCAATCTACCCAATCTTGCACCATGCCCCCTCCATCCATGGCTTCCAACTTCATGCAGCCCCCTATATATCAAAACTTCATGCCGACACCCAACTTTTACCAACAACCGCCAATCTATGGCCAACAACCTCCTACCTTTGGCCAACCACAAGTACCCAGTTTCTCTCAACCCTCTCACCACATGCAACCACAACACCCACCAATCCAAAACATGACCCCAAATGTTACTCCCCATCCCCCTAACTTTCAATGTCCACCACCCTATTACATGCCTAGTTTTCCACCTAACTCTGGTCATTTTGGTGGAGGAAACAATGAGGAGTAGCTACTTGTTAGGCTTTTTAATTATGAGGCTCTTTGTTTACGAGACTTTTTATTTATGAGGTTTCTTATTTATGAGGCTTAGACAGTGTCGGACAATTTTCTTAATTATGAGGCGTTTAACTATGTTGTAATCATTTATTGAGTTGTGTTGTACTTCGAAACTATTACTTCGTTTGCTTTCTCTTTCAATTAGTGTTCTGATGACATGATGCAATTTGCATTAATGACTTTACTTGGTAGTGACTCTTATACTTTGCCATTACATTATTGCACAATTTCAACATTAACTATGTTGTACTTGTGACTTCTACTATAGCAGATTTGGCGAACAGGTTGTAATGTGGAACGGAGGGCCTTCGAACGCGTCGCCTGACAACACAATAGACGATGACTCAGATGATGACTATGAGACAGCAGGTGTCGCGGCTATGCTCTGGTATTACCAAACCTACGTTGAGAGACCCCCGCCTCAACCTAAGCACACCTCCGCGTTCACAGGTATTATGCGTGTTGATTACTTGCTTGATGGTCATGAGGACGTAATTCGGAATAAGATTAGGATGGGCAGTGACTGTTTTAAGCGACTGAGTTCACTCTTAGAACTTAAGGGATATCTGAGACCCACTAGGAATATGAACGTGGACGAGCAGCTTTTTATCTTTCTATACATTGTGTCCCAAAGCCAAAGCAATAGGGAATCGCAGGATCAATGGCAGCATTCTGGATCCACAATTTCCAAATACTTCGAGGCTGTATTGGCGGCAATATATAACCTGCGGCATGATTTCATAACACCCCCGAATTTTAACATTATTGATCCAATCATTGCTGCGAGTGGAAGCAAGTATTTGCCATGGTTTAAGGTATGTCATTACTCATATATCATATCGTCAGCGACTAACATTATAAGATTGGTAACCTCGTTGTTCTTAATTGATTACAGAATTGTGTTGGAGCTCTCGACGGGACTCACGTCCCTTGTGTTCCACCATCAGGTAACCCCGAAGTATGGAGGAATAGGAAGGGTTTTTACTCCCAAAATGTGTTAGGGGTATGTTCATTTGACATGAAGTTTACCTACATATTAGCTGGATGGGAGGGATCGGCACATGATGCGCGCGTTCTTTCATCCGTAGTGGGGGTACGAGAAAAAAAGTTCCCAACTCCACCGCCCGGTATGTCAATCCCAATCCTTGCTATATATGTTGATAAACAAGCATCATCGTTGGTTGCTTGACTTCACTAAAGAGTTGGCCGTACTTAATTATTGCTTTGTAATGGCGAATGCAGGTAAATACTACCTTGTAGACTCTGGCTACGCGAACAACGATTGTTTCTTGGCGCCGTACCGAGAGAGCACATATCACCTTCAAGAGTATAGGGCAAGACGTGGGCGTCCTCGAACTCAGCGTGAGTTGTTCAATTACACGCATTCGTCCCTAAGAAATGCTATTGAGCGCACTTTTGGTGTTTGGAAAGCAAGGTTCCGCATACTCAAGTGCATAAATAATTACCCAATAGAGAAACAGATACAAATTCCTATTGCTTGTGCTGTGCTTCACAATTTCATACATATGTACAACAATAACGATGAGCTACTGAACCAGTACACACGAGACGGAGTTCCAGTTTTTGAAATTGATCCAGAGAATGCAGATCAAGATGTTAATCAAAATCACAATCCTGATCGCGGAACGGAACAAAATCAGAACTCCGCAAATCGTAGACAAATGAATATTTTGAGGGACGAGATGGCAGCTAGCATGTGGGCGGCATTGGAAGCATATCGCAATCGGTAGTTACATATTTGTTCCGCAATTTCGACTACCGTATTTATTTTACAATACGTTGTAATGAACTTATGGACGTTTCTGTTATTTATGTATATAGGTGTATTAATGTGTAGTAAAAAAATCCATGTCAATACTTGCAAAATTTTGGAGTTATGTTTTTGTCAAAGTGAACATAAAACTCAAGTTCACATCTCACAAATCATCCAAGTGAACACACAATTCAAGTTTCAAACACAATTCCATTTAAACTCACTTTTTTAACTCTAATCTTGAATTTGGAGTTATTGAAAAGAACGCAACCTAAGGCCCCGTTTACTTCACTGATTCGAGTTTAGAATTCGAGTTGAGATGTGATTTTATGTGAGAGCTTTTTACTGTAGTAAAAAAGTTAGATGTGATTGTTTGTGAGAGCTTTTTACTGTAGAAAAACTTAAATTCTAAACTCGAATCAGCGAAGTGAACGGGGCCTAAAAATACCATATGCATCCAAGTTTCGATAAAGGAAAACATATAGGGCACACTAACAATCGAGCACATAAAATGCTCTCTCAATAACATCGCCATTATTAAACTAAGAAAACTAAACCAAAAACTAGAAAACAACACCCACACTGGACCTTCCATGGGTGACACACCGGATGCCGCGACCACCAAAGCTAGGAGTAACAAAACAGTACGAGTAATGAAAAGCCACAGGAGATACCCATCCTTGGCAACACAAAACCACACGCCATCGCTGCCATCTACCAAAGAGGGTGCGTAGTTATCAATAAAAATTATGAATTTTTTGTGGTATGGTATAAAAAAATATCCTGCCAGTTAGGTTGTGTTTTAAATATAGAGTTATCTCAATTTTGTATACTGATCTTAACTAATTCCAACATTCATAAATATGTACTACAATAGTATATGACATAATGTACAAGTCTCTTAAGAATCTTGTTATAATGCAATGTTATTTTTTTTTTATTTTATAAAATTGAGGTGAGGGATTTGAACTATGCACTTTAATATTAAAAGTAATAGTAATTTATTATTAGGCTAAACTTGCAACCATTACAATATGATGAGCTTGGTTAACAAAATTCAAAATCATCCAATGAATCAACGATGAAATACTCTCAAAAGTCCAAGAAGATTATCATATCAAAACTTTTAGGGCTTATTCATTTATACTTAAACTCAAAAAAAGTTTGAATTCAAGTTACAACTTTATTTAAGTTCATGTTCTTTTGTAAAATTTGAGTTTGAACTTGAGTTTGAACTTGAGTTTGAGGCTAAAATCTGAGTTCAAGTTCCCCCTTCAACTCAAGTTCCTAAACTCAAACTCAAGTTAATGAACAATATTTTTTCTATTCTTAAAAACGTAATAATTTTTTCGTATTAATTCCGATTGAGATGATTTTTTTCTATGCGTTCATAACGAATAGATGAATAAAACCCTATCCATATACCCTATTAAAATTTTCTATCACCATTGAGTTTTTATTAAAATACTATCTAAATACAAATTTAAGTTCTGACCCACCTAAACACAAACTCAAATAGATTCTCAATTCAAACCATAACTCAAAATGTGCACATCCAAACACAAACTCAAATTAGAGTCCTAACTCAAACACACATTAACTCAAATCAATATCTGAACTCAAGTCACCTTAACTCAAAAAATGTAAATGAACAAGCCCTTACTCTCAACGTAGTAATGGCCTCCAAGGCATTTGACCTGCCCATGCCCTTTTATCATGTTTATAGATTTTTCATTTAATTATATAATAAGAGAAATATTAGCATCATTTTTTTGTCACGCTCTGCGTTTACCGTTTGACATGTGAACTCCACTAATATGAAATATTATTATTTAAATAAAAAAATAAAATATTAGAGCTCATGATATATTATCATGCTTATGGATTTTTCCTTTAATTATATAATCATAGTTCTCAAAACTACTATAATAATGTACATTTCTATTTACGTTTTCTTTTATGAAATCTAGTTCTATTATAACCTTCACTAACCGAATCTTATCGTGTATTCGAAAGAAAAATTCATGTTATAATTTAAATTATAATTTGTAACTCATTATAATATTTTTTTTATAAAAAATATATATAAAATAAAAATAATTTTAAATTCATGAATTAAAAATTTTTAACCTTTAATCTTCTGCGTGAACTTTTTATAAGCGTATCCAGGATTGGATATGTGTCAGTGTGAGGGCCAAGGATCACCACCCACTAAAAAGAGCCAACCATGTATTATAAACACCTCCCATCACTCACACACACACACCACAATATATAAACCATGGAATGTAATTTCTTTTGCAAAATCTCAGCAGTGGGCTTTGAGATCTCACACCGCCAAAAGTATTAGCTGAGTAAAAGACTGACCAGAAACGGCAGGAAAAAGAAGAAGAAGAAGAAGAAGAAGAAGGGGAAAAAAAAACAAAAAAAAGCTCTCAAAGAAGATGGTTTCTGGGATTCTAACTCTAGCCCAAATCTCATATTTATGTAGTTCAACTTCCACAATCGGCTCTGGGAGGCCTCCTAAGCTCCATGGCCAGGCTCTTTCATTTGGTGCACCTCGAATTCTGTGCTCATATTCCAGCCCAGATATGCCTTTAACCTCTGGTAAGTTCACATCTTCATTACTGTTCTCTCACCACTTATATTGTTACTATAAGAGAAAATCATGAAGTAAAAGAGGGAGGACGCGCTTGCTTGAATCCAGAACTGGAATTATTATGTTAAGAAAAGTGATGAGTTTATATGTTAAATTGCAATGTTTCCTAATAGACGGTAATGTCTTTGTCCTTTACTATGAGTGCAAGTTTTTTATTATTATTTTTTGTTACGTAACTAGTTGCGATTTGTCCCTTAACTTATGGTAGCCTAGGGGCATTCGTGTTACTCTCAAGTGGTTTGCTAGATGGCAGGTTGCACATTCGAGTAACAGGAGAAGGGACTGAAACTATTTTCATAATGTTTGTTCAATGTTTAGTAGTTTTTTTGCACTGATATTTAAATTTTTAATTAAAAGTTATATTTATTTTTTTATTATAATAAAAAAATTTTACATAAAATTACATCTTAATTTAAATTTGTGAAATTAAAGAGGTCATCGAAGATGACATGTCTAGCTAGCTACGGTTCAATGTAGACACTCCGTGTGTTGTCATGTCCTAAGAGAGTAGTTACGGCTGGTTGCCTTTTGTCATGCTATTTTACACCAATAGTAACTTGTCCCTTAACTTTTGAAATGTGTCAACAATCCATTGAACTTGACAAAGTGACAACGCTAGTCATTCTGTTTCATTTTTGCCCACAAAAACAGACATGTTTTTCCATGAAAGAACAGACAGGAGTACCAAAGTTGTCGCCGTTTTTAAGTTTAAGGGGGTGTCATTGATACATTTAAAAAGTCTGGGCGAATTTGATCAGAGTGACAGTTTGAGGAGGGAATTTTGTAACTTATCCTTTATTATTTTACTATTATTATTATTATTTTTTTTTTGGGTGTGTGGGAGTCAAAAACCCACTTGCCATTCTTGGCGGTGAGAAGTTTTCCTTGATGGGTTTTGCCATCCCATGTGTTTGTGCAATGCATGTCCACCATTTTTAGTCATTTATCCAATTTATATTGAATAGCTACTTGTATGATTGGTTCCTTTTTGAAGTCAGTTTTAAGAATCCTTTTGGTAACAGATAAACTTGAGAACAGTGCACCCATGACGGGTGGTGCATTTGATTTCAAAAAGGCTACAATATCTCTTACTGATGAACTGATCTCTTCACCAAAGAAGGTGACGCTTCTACGGCATGGACTTAGCTCTTGGAATGAAGAAAGTAGAATTCAGGTATTTTGCCTTCTGCTTTAGTCAAATAATTCGTTTTGTCTTTTACTTCAGGTGGGGCATGTTTCATTATTTCTTCCCAATTATCTCTGTGTGCGCGCGCGCATGCGTGCATGTATGTATGTATGCTTGTATGTATCTATATATCTATATATCTATATATCTATATATTGATTCATTATTAGCTATTCTTGTCTGTTCTTCGAATTTGAGCCTGGGTCTCCCCCTCAACCCATCCCGCCCTTACTAACTGGGCTAGCACCAGTTTGGAGATCTATATTTTCATTTATTTTAGTTATCAACTACAATGTGTATTTTCTTTGGTCGCAAGCATAACCTAGCGATAAATCTACACATCCGAACTTCAAGTGCCCACCCCCCCTATGAAAAAAACGTGTATTTTCTAGGTTCTATAAAAAGGTTAAGACATTTGATAAAGAAAGCTATGGCTACTTTTACAAAACAAGATCATAGTTCAAACATTAGGCCCGTTCATTTCACTGATTTGAGTTTAAAATTCGAATTTTGTTACAGTAAAAAGCTCTCAGAAACAGTTACATTTAACTTTTTTACTACAGTAAAAAGTTCTACTAAACAGGAACTTGAACCTTGAACCAATACTAACCAGTTATGCATTCACAGGGAAGCTCGAACCTGTCTGTCCTAACAGAAACCGGGATAAGACAAGCTGAGAGATGTAAAAGGGCATTGGCAAATATACATTTTGATCAGTGTTTTTCAAGCCCGATATCTCGTGCAAAGGTTGGAAAAAAAAAAAAAATACTATTGTTGTTGTTGCTGAAAGTTGGAAAAAGGATACTCAACTTGCTATTACTGAATGCTTTTTAAGGTTTCAATTCTGAATTGTCTGATGCAGTCCACCGCTGAAATCGTATGGCAAGGGAGAGAAGAGCCACTGGTTTTTATCGATTCACTGAAGGAGACGCATTTGTTTCACCTTGAAGGCATGAAAAATGGTCTGTCTCCTTGTGTTTTACTAGTTAGTCGTAGTTTTACAAGTACTCTTCCCTATCCCATTGAGTTTTGATTGAATAGATGGAAACCCTTTTTTTCTTAAGAATTACATTTTTTAGTCATATTGTTATCGTATCCTACTAAATCACACTCAGAATTTGGAGGCAGTGGATGCCAAGCAGATATACCCAAAAGAGTACACAACATGGAGAGAAGATCCGGCTAGTTTTGAAGTGAATGGCGTTTACCCGCTACAAAAAGTGTGGGGCACGGCAAAAGAGGCTTGGAAGGAAATCCTGCTCACGCCTGTGAGATCTTTCTTCCCTTTCAATTTCCATCATATTTTGTAGGAAAATATATTTATACTAAGAAAATTTAAATCCTTTAGAATATCGTATCTCCATCTTGAATGACATGCCAAGTATCGTCGTTTCTTGTTAGGGGGAGCATTTTTTACTTGTCACTCATAAATCAATTTTGAGGGCATTGATCTGCACAGCTTTAGGGCTTGGCCCAGAGAGGTACTGATATTGCTGCTAAATATCTGACTCCGATTTTCTGTCAAATTTTTCTTTTAGTTTAAGCTGAAGAGGTCGAGTATTTGTGAAGAACGAGAAGTTTTGGCCAATAACTTGAGAACTCTATATTTTCATGCATAGTATTTTCAATTTCACTTTTCGAAGAACACAATTTTTGTAATGGATTTGGCGTACTAGATAAATACTCATGTAGACTTGACAGTTCTGAATTTATTTGAAAATGTTCTTCGTGGTTCAGGTTTCGTGCGACTGATGTGAATAATGGCGGAATAACTGTGTTCAACTTCAACAAAAGAGGAGAAGCAATGCTTCAATCTTTGAATATGACTTCCCACATGTACAGTGATCATGTTTATATGTACTGACACGACAAAATGTGGATGTACCATGTGGCGACGGAGAAAAGGCAACCTTGCCGGAATCTAGCGGAGTTGATCATTGAGCATTATGAGGTTCAACTGCAAATTTTTAACCTTTGAGTTGAGAATATTTGTGGTTTTTTCTTTTCTTTTCGAAGTGAGCTATGAGATTCCAGTTACAGCATGCTAACATTGTGGCATATAAAACCCAGATAAGCAAGAACTTTGTCATGACATTCTTTTTGTTATCTCATTATTCATACCACATTTGGGAAACAATAGTGATCCAACGTACAACAAAACTGAATTTTCAGTGAGAAAAACAAATTATGATGATTCTAAATTTAGTGAAAGGAAGAGCAAAAAAACCATTATAAGAATAAACTTGAGCATAACTTTGATGGTATAATTGAACCGCAGATAGTTGTACTAAGATAAATTCTTTTGCCGCATCAAAGATTCTATCTTGTCCACATCTTCTGGAGTATCAACTCCATGAGCTTCATGATCAACCTTGATCACCTGTGAGATACATGTGAAAAAGTATCAACTGTAAACTATCTGGTTGAGATTTGCTCAAGGAAGAGAAGGTTTAGAGGAACCAGAATATCATGTGCAATAACGCAAATAGAGGAACTCTTTTTGTCATTGATATTATGGATAAATGGGGGGATAACAAGTAAACATGCTGCGCAGATAGTTTTAGACACAAGTGCAAACAGAAAGTTGTCAAGAGCCCACTATGTTGTCAAGAAATGTCGTGATTGAATTAGTAGTTTTGACTCTCAGGATTGCTAATGTTAAATTTGACACCAAAAAAGTATAAAAATTGATATGTTGTTCTATTCTTTACTCCAATTCGATGTTACTTTAAATATTACATCTACTTTTGTAATAAACTTTTAAGTTTAGAAACTTATAAATGGAAATTTTGAATATTTAATTTAAATAATTGAAAACAATACTATAGTCATTACTCATTAAGTGAAAAAGTAATACACCAATCAATTAGCAAGAAATGCCAAAATTTTCCATTATGCTATACCTGGTGTCAAAATTAGCAGATAGCATGTATTAAATTTGACATTAAGTATACCGTTGCTTTGAGGGATGGTTTTTCTTTATTATTATTATAATGCTAAATTTTTTGACATTCGCACAAAAATTTGGCAATGATTGGAGATGCCCTTATGTCATATTTACTTGGATAACAATAGGGGAAAATAGTTTTCAATCTATTGATATAAAAGCAGGTCAACCCACGTACAAAACATGTTTACATAGTACCTTCATCTTGTACCCATGCTCAAGGATTTTAAGCTGCTCCAAATCTTCTTCTTCTTGTAAAGGAGTGGAAGAAAGCTCCGGGTATTTTCTCAAGAATTTTGCATCATAGCTCTAGCAAACACGAATATCAGTGGCAACAGTTGACACAGACAGAAGTGAAATAACGTAGTTGGTCATGAGTTAGTACCTGGATGCCAAGATGAAGCAAATACGGAAAGTTTAGATTGACCTTGCCAGACCTGCAAGAATTTATCTCACAGTTATTAGCAATAGCTACCCAGATGTACGAGTTTCATGTTATGTTGTAAACTATGGTGAGACTTGCGAGAAAACTGACTTGTTATATGGGATCAAACCCCTGGAGAAATAGATTGCGTAGCCTCGAGTGTCGACCACACATTTTACTCGATTCGGGTCGAGTGCATCTTCAGGTTTCAAGGAGGTAACTGCAGTGCTAAATACAGCATCAGGGGCTGCCTGTAATGCCATGAAAATTCTGACATAAGACGTGCTTTTCTGTTGCTCCTTTGGGAAGAACCGAAACGAAATGAGCAGAAAAAACGGGGTAAAGCTTTATTATATCTGGATGAAGAAACGAAATTCGAGGAAGAACTACTTGCCTGCAGGGCTTTAACAACCCCATCTATTATCTCAGGCTCTATTAGAGGCTCATCACCTTGTATGTTGACAACAATGTCAAATTTCCTCTGGAGCCTTTGGAGTGCTTCATTGCAGCGTTCAGTTCCTTCAAAGAAAATAATGAAACAAACCTGTTAGATAGTTGAAGTTATAGCAGAAAGTTAGAACTGTGAATGTAAGGTCCAACTAATCATGAATTTTTACCGTTTTTGCAAGATTCAGATGTCATTAACACATCAGCTCCAAATGCTGAACAACATTCAGCTATTTTCTGATCATCTGTAGCTACAACTAGTGCAAGAGGAAAATCACAATGGTAAAGATTCAAATAACACAGAGAGAGAGAGAGAGTGATGCATGCTTAATATGCTCACTATGTCATCTAGATTATTGAGTCCTAGTGCTCCATCTACTTTCCATACCACAAGTTAGAATAGTCACAGAAATTTGGCCAATCCAAGTGGCCAAAATGTTTCATAAAGCTGACTTGTTGGACATACCAAGTTTGTTTAGTGTGGCTGCAAGTTTTGCTCTTTCCCATGTTCTCTGAAAATCACAAGCGGATAGCCAAGTCAAATTGTGAAACCTAATCAAATCTGTTGTGTTGAAATAACTTTATGCATGTCCTTTAGTGAGCTTCTCCAATGCAATGCTATAATTGACATGATAATTTTAAATTTAACATTTGCTTGTAAAAAACACTCTTCAATGCAATATTATTTGTTGTGCTAAATAATAATAATACATTGAGCACATACTATACAAGCTCGAGACATTAGTTAAGCCAAAAAAAAAAAGTTACTACATGCTATAAACGCATGTCTCCTTGAAAGAAAAGGCATGTCGTGTAATAGATAAGGTAAAACGACAAGGATGAAGGATCCCTTAAACGACCATATCATGTTAAAGTACATGTCGTTTGTCCATATGAGGACAATGATCATGTCGTTTTGTCACGGCAATATGATTCCCCACGGAAGGTATTTCCCAACCCTTTTCCCCTCTGTCTTTTTGTTTCCCGGATTTAAATAATTTTATTTCAGAAATTTAAATTTTTAATTTAAGTTAAAATATAATATTTTTTAAAAATTTTTAAGTAATAAAAAAAATTATATATGATACTTTTAAAAAAATTTTATAGTGGATATTTAATTTATAGATTTAAAATTATGATTTAAAATTATTTTTAATTTATATGTATTTTTAAAAAAAATACTATAATAAATTATAAATTATGATCTGAATTATAACACAAATTTATTAATTAAATGGATTCTTAACAATTAAAAATTTAAATCAGTAAAATAAACGAGGAATTGTATCAAGGTTAATTGAAGAATCACCTGAATCATGGGCTTGCCAAGGATTGGAACGAGAGGTTTTCCTGGAAATCTAGACGAAGCAAAACGAGCTGGTATGATTCCCAGCACTTGCCTCCGAAACCGCCATGATTGGCGCGTCGATATCACCGCATAAGCCGCCGCCGCCGCCGCTGCCGAGGATCCGGCGAGAACGCCCGGAGCGAGCCACGGCTCGGAGTCATGGTCAGAGCTAGAAGACGAAGATTTCGATTTTTGATTCATAGTTTTTTTTTTCCTTTATTTTTTTTCCCTTTTACTTTGTATATATGACGGCGGGAAATTGCGAAGCTGGGTTTTCAACTAGTCCCAAAACGTTGTCGTATCGACGTTTTTAACAAAAGGACTCAATTTCTTCTCAAGTTTCATGGAAGCCAAACGACAATTTACAGAGCCGTTCGCTCACTCTCCAGCTCACGAAGCCCTTCTCCGAGCCGGCTCGCGCATTCGGCCGCTCCAGCAAGCCCACGCGCACATTGTTGTCTCTGGCTCACACCGCAGCCGAGCTCTCCTCACCAAGCTCCTGACGCTGGCGTGCAAAGCCGGCTCAATCGGCTACGCTCACCGGCTTCTATACTCCGTCCGAAATCCTGACGCTTTCCTCTTCAATTCTCTCGTGAAAGCCTCGTCCTCCTCGGGCTTCGCCATTGACACGGTCGTCTTTTACCTCCGGATGCTTCAGAGCCGCGTTTCGCCGTCGAGTTACACCTTCACTTCTGTGATCAAAGCTTGCGCCGATCTTTCGTCATTGAGGCTCGGGAAATGTGTCCATTCGCACGCGTTGGTTTCTGGGCACGGCTCGGATCGGTTTGTGGAGGCCGCTCTCGTTAATTTCTACGCGAAATCCGGTGATTTGGGTGTTGCGCGGAAGGTGTTCGACGAAATGTCTGAGAGAACTGTTGTGGCGTGGAATTCGATGATATCGGCATACGAGCAGAACGGGTGCGCGAGAGAAGCAATCGAAGTGTTTTGTCGAATGCGGGAACGGGGTGTTCGACCGGATTCGACAACATTTGTTAGTGTGTTGTCGGCTTGTTCTCAGTTGGGGGCTTTGGGATTAGGCTGTTGGGTGCATGATTACATTGTTGGGAATGGATTAGATTTGACTGTAGTTCTTGGCACTTCGTTGATCAATATGTATGCAAGATGTGGGAACGTGAGCAAAGCGCGGGAAGTTTTCGATTCGATGAGTGAGCGGAATGTTGTTACTTGGACGGCTGTAATTTCTGCCTATGGAATGCATGGCTATGGCAGTCAAGCAATGGAGCTTTTTCATCGAATGAAAGCTCATGGTTCGTGTCCTAACAATGTGACATTTGTTGCAGTTTTGTCAGCCTGCGCTCACTCGGGGCTAGTTCACGAGGGGCGTGGGGAGTATGCAAGTATGAGCCAAGAGTACGGCCTGGTTCCGGGAGTGGAGCACCACGTTTGCATGGTCGATATGTTGGGGCGAGCAGGGCTTCTTGACGAGGCTTATAAATTCACCAAAGAACTCGACCGCGGTGAACAAGCTCCAGCAGTTTGGACCGCCATGCTCGGGGCTTGCAAGATGCATAAGAATTTCGATCTTGGAGTAGAAGTTGCCGAGCATCTTTTAGCGGCTGAACCGAATAATCCCAGCCATTATGTGATGCTCTCCAACATATATGCTTTGGCGGGTCGGATGGATAGAGTGGAAATGGTTAGGAACAAGATGATTAGGAGACGGTTGAAGAAACAAGTTGGTTACAGCACAATAGAAGTCGATCAAGAAACACATTTGTTTAGCATGGGTGATCAATCTCACATTGAAACAGATAAGATCTATCAGTATCTGGATGAACTGATGCGGCGGTGTAAGGAAGCGGGTTATGTACCAACACCTGATTCGGTGTTGCATGAATTGGAAGAAGAAGAGAGGGAGTATGCTCTTAGGTACCATAGTGAGAAGCTTGCGGTTACATTTGGTCTACTGAAAACCTGCCATGGAACAACCATCAGGATTGTGAAGAATCTTCGAATCTGCGAGGATTGCCATTTAGCAATGAAGTACATATCAAGTGTCGCTAACAGGGAAATCGTTGTTCGGGATAGGCTTCGGTTTCATCACTTCAAAGATGGCCATTGCTCGTGTCTGGATTACTGGTGATGGACTTTCTTTGCTTGTTGAGGCCATAGCATATGGCAAGTTACTATGGCGAAATGTTTCCGTTTTCTATTAGAAAACGCTACCGAACGTTATTCTTAAGAACATTTCCTACTGAAATGCGAGAAAACAATTTCAAACCATTAACAAACAGGCTCTATGGTTCTTGTTTTCATTTATTTCCATACCTTGGAGGAGATCATTCCTCTGTTGCCGAACTTAAAGGTTGCTTACTTACTCATCCCAAATTGTGGCCGGCAGAGTGTTTTTCTTGCAAGTGGTGGTGGCTCGGTTTCTGCTGCTTTCTTTCCAGCAGCATCCTCTTTGGATGGACCTCAAGTCTTGTGCCAGTCTACTTCAGGATAGTGTCATGTCGATGTTAAGAATTAGACGGCCTAATTTTATATTACCGAGAAAAATGAAAATTGTGGAATAAAATTAAACATATAAGTACACATAAGATATCTAGTGGTTCACACTCAATACGTGTTTGAGGGTTGGTTACGTCCACTTTCAGCTGCCGTGGGTTTTTTGTACTATGATGAATAATAAGTTTATAAAAGAAAATTACACATGTACAACTCTGTATTTTCTCTAACTTCTTTAATTTAACCCTAAAATTGGCACCCACTTTATATAAGAGAAACTAGGGTGGTGGAACCAGTGCCTACGTGATGATAAAACATTTTTAGAAAAGACAGTTATTTTTGCATCAAGGACGTCTTACTAATATTGTGACTTTTTATATGGAGAGATCGGTGGTCATGACAGAAGAAGTTGTAATTAAGGGTCCGTTTGGTTTAAGAATTCGTGACATGGTTCGAATCATGATTTGTGGCTCGTTACAGTATTTTCTCTCACAAAAAAACACACGTAAATCAAGAATAGTTCTGAATCATGATTCTGAATCTATCAACTAAACGTCCTCTAAAATTTCAAATTCGATCAACGTGTTATCCCTGTACAAGACAATAAGGGTAACAGTTAGGCTCCATAATTTAATGAGACCCTTCTTTTGTCATATAATTCATCATGTGAATGTAACGGATAGTATTAATAAGTCACATGTGAGTAAATCACACAACACTTGCCATACAAAATGGCAGTAGCAAAAGAGGACCCCAAATAATTGCAGCACAGATCCTTTGTCGCAACATGTCACAACATGTACATGTCACCGCATTGCCCATTCATTTTACCAAGCGTTTTTTTATTTTATTTAATTTTAGTTTTTGGCCTTAAAAAATTCTCTGAGGGGATAAAATTATAATCTTATACTTTTTAATTTTAAATTTTTTTTTGCTATTATACCTTTTTAATTAACTTTCACGTCTAAATGGTTCATGTGGCAATCCTGTTAAAAAATTATTTACTTAATATTTATTCAATATTTACCTCATAAATATATTATTTATCAGTTTGATTATCTTTTTAAATACCAATTAATTCACTTAAAAAGTAATTTACAAAATATTTATTAGTTTTTAATTTACTACATGTGATAAGCATGTTGCCGGACTACGATGAAGATTGGATGTGACTATGAGCACTGCTCGTGACGATTTCTCATGAACGTTATCGCAACGACCACCTGTGATTTTGTGGGCCGAGCTTTGCTCACTACGAGCTCGTGGCAAGTCGATGGCTTGCAAGAAAATTTTGTGAGATAAAAGGAGATGAGGATATTTTCCGTAATTAGGATGTAAAATTTATAAATTTCCCCCTCTTAAAATCCTGCCAATTGTGTTTATTCCCACTAAACATGTTATTTTCCTTCCTTACCATTGCGTTTTAGCTTAACAGACAGGTAAAAATTATACTACAAATCTACGTAGCATGTCCGTGAGAATGAAATTGAAACATAACAAATTTTAGTTCAAAATATTTTAACAATAATAAAATTACATAATTATTGTTATATGATTTTATCTTTTACCATCTGTAAAATATTCTGAATCTGTTATATCTCAACATTACTATTTTGATAATGTTATGTCTATGAAAAAACAATATGCATTGGACCTGGCTACCTAGTGTCTGGTACGGAATATAAATGGATTCGCCGTGGAAAGTGGAAACGCACTAATAATAATTAATTAAAGAATGATTTGATTAAACAAAGCACGTGCAATAACAGAGATTCTCTCTGTCTTTTTAATTTTTACATTTTTTAATTAATGTACGAACAATTCGCTCTAGCTCCTCTCAATATTTTGACTTTTTTTACATGAGACCCCCTGAACTTTTCATATTTGGTGGATTGGTCCTTAAATTAAAAATTTTTACAATCAACTACCTGTATTTTAAATCGTTCCATTACTGGTCCTTTTGCTAACGTATGGTAAATTTTAGACAGATTTGGGTGTCTTTTTGCACATGACTTGCATGTGATCTTTCAATGAGGGCATTGACGATCTTTTTAAAAAAAAAACCTAGATCCGACCAGACATTCTCTTCACGTTTTCTCTCTCTCTCTCTTTGCTCACCCCTTCTCCTTCCACCTTCTACCGCCGGCAGAGAGGAGTTGTCATCGAATTTTGTCTAGCATCGACCATGGTTTCGAATCCTCTTCTGACTCCAGCAACACAAAGGCTCTTCGCTCATCGTCCTCCGACGAATGGAATTACTGCTCTTGATGGATCATTGGATTACTTTTCCCCGACAACGAGAGAACCAACAAACAGGACGCCGATCTATGGATCGATCTCCCTCTCCCTTTCTTCCTCTCTCTCTTTGAGACATGCGAGGTGGGCAACAACCTAGTGAAGGGGTGGTGTGGATCTGGGTTTTTTTTCGGGTCGTTCGGTTGGGTGGCGGCGACAGCGGGCAGGGAGATGACATTTCAACAGTGGCGAATGGTGATTTCCTCCGGCAGCTGCAATTAGAGAGATAAAGCTAGTTGTGCTCTAGTTCTCCAGCACTTGTTCAAAAATAAAGTTATATTTAATAGGTTATAGTCTCCCAAGCCCAAGCAAATCAGACACGTAATGTTGGATTTTAGGAAAAGAAACATATGATTGGGGGTTTATGGATTGAAAATTTGAAATTTGGAATTGTATTGAGAAAGTATGAATACGAATTAGATGGACGAATGGGTTGTGCCGAGAAGAGGAAAGATTTTTTGGGCTTTTTTTTCCTTTTCAATTTTACCTTCCAATAATGAGGAATTGTCTTGAGGATCTTATGAAGCATTTGAGAGGAAGACGTATGATGTTTTTGTTCTGGATTTTGGTATTTCACTGAGCTATGGTGCATTTGAGAGGACAAGAGATGAGCAAAGAGAGAGCGTGAAGAAGAAGGTCTGGTTGGGGGCTAAGGATTTTTTTTCCTTTTATTTTATTATTATTTTTTCTTTTTGAAAAAAGACCATCAATGCCCTCATTAAAAGATCACATGCAAGTCACGTGCAAAAAATCATCCAAAGTTGTTCAGAATTTAACAGACCTTAGCAAAAGGACCAGTAATGCAATAATTTTAAAGTTTAAAGAGTTGATTGTAAAAATTTTTAGATTAAGGACCAATTGATCAAACACAAAAAGTTTAGAGGGATCCCATACAAAAAAAAAACCTATTATCTAATTTATCTGCCAAAGTTAAACATTCCAAAAGGCATCAAAACTGTTTTTTCTTTAGCCAATACTTTTTTTAAGTGTTCTTTCGTGTTTTTTACTTATCAGTGTTAAATTTTTATTAAATTTGATTAAAAATTAAATTAAATTAAAAATAATCTAAATTTAATAATTAATAAATAAAAAATACCAATTTTTTTTTTTTAAAGAGAACACCAAAAAACATTCTTGTCAAATTATGAGGATCTTTGATAGAGGGATTCATTCTCTGATTCGAATCATGATTCGTGGTTCGTTATAGTATTTTCTCTCATAAAAAATTCACATAAATTAAAAATAATTTGAATCACATAATTTAAATCCTCCAACCAAACGTCTTCTATATCTAATTCTATTATCAAAATTGCGCTCATTGAACTCGTGATTATCAAAATTGCACGCATTGAACTCGTGATAGAGACACGTCTAAACTTGTCTTGTAGCTATATGCCTTGCCTCTTTTTCAGCTTTTGGCACATGCAAATTGTCTACGGGTCCGCATAACAATTTCTTTTTTTAAAAAGAAACTTTAAATATAAAAGTGCACTGGAATATTACAGTATAACGTCAATATCAGTTAATTTATTGTCCATTTGGCATATACATATATATAACTCGAGCATTGCATTGTATTGAAGGCATTTGAATGTGAGCAACAGTAAAAGGGTGTTCAAACTCAAAATCATGATTTATAAAGCTCTCATAAAAAAATTTTAATTTTAAATATTAAAATTAAAAATTATGAGTTTAAATATACATTCTAAATGGGCCCAAAATGACGTTTAGACAAACGGTAAAATCTCATGCCGTAATTCTTTAAATTTTTTCTTTTTTCTCAAGAAAACTGGCGAACTCATACTTAAATATATTATTCTAAAATTTTTATCATTTACTATTTATTAATACCCTATTAATTAATACAGTTATTTAATTAAGAGTAATGAGTAAAAATCTAAGATTTATACATTTTAAAGGGTATTTATCTTTTTATTATTATTTTTAAGGGACTTTTTCCGGTACGCTAATATATCGGTAGGTTAAGTTTTTTGTCTATTAAATCTGCATAAAATTCCGTAAAAATAAAAAAAAATATGTAAATTTAACAGTTAAAAAAATTTGACCTACTAATACGTATCGAAACATATTTTTTTTAAAGAACTCCTTAAACTTTATATATATGTGTTTGTAAACATATAATTTTTTAGAGATTTTCATGGTGACGTAATTATTTACTTGGATCGTTGTTTGTAGCAAAGTTCTCTTATCCCACTTTAGATAAAAAAAGAAAACCTTTTGCTTTATCCATACATGGAATGATTGATCAAAAACCATCTTTTATCTCCCAATTCATTGATTTTCACCGTAAATATTCAGTTTAAGTCCTGCCTTAAAAGCTCTTTTTTTTTTTCTCACTTTAATCCTTTATGATATAAACAAAACTTATAAAGGCTAGCCAAACCAATAGTTCAAAGCCAACAAAGTAAAAGACGCGTCGCATAAAATCAATCTTGCATAATGAGTACTTGAAATCCACCTTTTGATAAGTGATAGATTCTATTCCAGTAGGATGAAAACCATTTTTGTTATAATTGTTTTTTTATATATTTATTTAGATAGTAAATGTTAATGTTAATTGTATATTTAACATTACAAAAGTGATTCTCATTTTTACTCCAATATAAAATGCTATTTAAAATGTTAAATTTATTTTTTTTATAATTATTAAGTTTTAAAAGTTGTAAAAGTAAATTTTTTTTAAAATAATTAAAAAATGTAAAAATTACAATAATTACATAAAAAGGTAAACATTTCATCTAACAGTAATTAAACGTTAAATTTCTTATATGTTATGTTTTGTGAGAAATTTGTCACAAAATAAAGTATATGAAAAATTTATTATAATAAATAATATTATATTAGATAGTATTTTTTTATATTTAAATGTTAAATTTGTAATCAACACATTAATTATAACATTAGATCAGAAATATTGCATTATAATTGTGCGATATTCCTCAGACTGCCTAGGCTCCACCACTCTCCAAACCAGCACGAATCCCGCACGCGCGTAGCCCAACATCGCCAACATTCTTACATCACTAATAGGTAGGGGTGACAATTCGTGTCACATGTCGTATTTTGATCATTTTTTTTAAATTTACAGTTAACCCGAACATGATTCGTGACACGAAATTTTTTAAAAATTGTAACACGAACACGACACGACACGACCACCTTATGGGTTAATATGACACGAAAATGACACGTGACACGAAAATTGTAAACTTTTATTTAGTTTTTTATATATTAGAAATAACTTAAAATTCATAACATACTAAAATACAATAACATCCATTAAAATTAAGTAAATAATAATATAAGATTTTGAGTATATCTATCATGACATCACAAGTTCATAATAAAATAAAAAATATATAATGAAAAAATATTTTTTAATTTTTTACGAGTTTCATATCGTGTTTGTGTTAAGTGAGTCTAACTTCAAATTGACTCGTATTTTTCATATTAATTTTAAATCAACTTAATTTTAATCAAAATCTCTTTTTTTTTAACTTTATCATATAAAATTTATATTATTTTTAAATTATATTATCGTGTCCGCCCTAATAGTAGCAGCGTAACTGATACGCCAATTATTTATCTGGAAAACAGAATTTAGATTCAACAAGACAAGTTCATTTTAAAAGAATAAAAAACCAAAAATAAAAGAGATTTTTCCAAATTTGCGTGCTCAAGTCTCTAAGCCCACGGGCCCACAATTTACTCTCCACGTCAAGTCATCGCCCTTTCAGTTTCTGAGCAACATAACAGTTGCAGCAGTAATACCAGCAGCCAGTAAGCAAAGCAAAGCAACAGACAGAAAATGGAAATGAGAAAGCAACTCAAAACGACACCGTAAAAGAAAACCACAACAAGAAGAATTCGAAGAAGAAGAAGAAGAATTCGAAGAAGAAGAAGATGATGATGAGGAACAACAACAAAGTCGTCAACAACGTGAGGCGAAGTCCTCTGGCCACGCGCGGGGGAAGTAGTGTGCCGCACGCGCCGCCGCCGCCGCAGCCGCCAATGGGAGATGTGTACAATATAATCCCAATCCATGACCTCCTGACGGACCACCCGTCGCTGCGGTACCCGGAGGTACGCGCTGCCTCCGCCGCTTTGCGGACCGTCGGCGACCTCCGGAAGCCGCCGTTCGTGGAGTGGAGGCATGGCTACGACCTCCTGGACTGGCTCGGCCTCTTATTCGGCTTCCAAAACGACAACGTTCGCAACCAGAGGGAGCATCTCGTCCTCCACCTCGCCAACTCCCAAATGCGCCTCCAGCCCTCGCCGGCGACCCCCGACGAACTCCAGCCCTCCGTCCTCCGCCGATTCCGCCGCAAAATCCTCCAAAACTACACTCTTTGGTGCTCCTACCTCGGCCGGAAGTCCAATGTCCGCCTCTCCAGTCGCCGCGACAGCGGTGATGTCCGGCGCGAGCTGCTCTACGTCGCGCTCTACCTTCTAATTTGGGGCGAGGCCGGGAATCTGAGGTTCGTTCCTGAATGTATTTGCTATATCTACCACCATATGGCGATGGAGCTCAACTACGTCCTCGACGAGCAGTACATCGACCGGGACACGGGCAGGCCCTTCCTGCCTTCGATTTCCGGCGAGTGCGCGTTCCTGAAGAGCGTGGTGATGCCGATTTACCAGACGATTAGCATGGAGGTCGAGAGCAGCCGGAACGGCAAGGCGCCTCACTCGGCGTGGCGGAACTACGACGATATTAACGAGTATTTCTGGAGTCGGAGGTGCTTCTCCAGGCTGAAATGGCCGTTGGATTTTACCAGCAACTTCTTCGCCACCACCCCGAAGAACAGGCGGGTCGGGAAGACCGGGTTCGTGGAGCAGAGATCGTTTTGGAATGTGTTCAGGAATTTTGATAAGCTTTGGACTATGTTGTTACTGTTTTTGCAGGCTATGATCATCGTTGCTTGGCCGGAAAAGGAGTTTCCATGGAAGGCATTGGAGAGCAGGGACGTGCAGGTGGAGCTGCTCACGGTGTTCATCACCTGGAGCGGCCTCCGGCTTCTCCAATCGGTGCTCGACGCAGGGACTCAGTACAGCTTGGTTTCGAGGGAGACAATGTGGCTTGGTGTTAGGATGGTGCTGAAAAGCTTGGTTGCCTTGACATGGACTATTGTGTTTTCGGTGTTCTACGGGAGGATTTGGACTCAGAAGAATTCCGATTCGGGGTGGTCTGATGAAGCCAATAAGAGGATAATCACTTTTCTTGAGGTTGCTTTTGTTTTTGTAACTCCAGAATTGCTTGCATTGGTTCTCTTTGTGGTTCCTTGGATTAGAAACTTGATTGAAGAGTTGAATTGGAGGATAGTTTCATGGTTGACATGGTGGTTCTATACCCGGATTTTCGTCGGGCGTGGCTTGAGGGAAGGGCTTGTTGATAACATCAAGTACACGGTTTTCTGGATAATGGTGTTGGCTTCAAAGTTTACATTTAGTTATTTCCTGCAAATCAAGCCTCTTGTTGCCCCAACAAAGGATCTTGTGAAGCTTAAAGGCCGATACAATTGGCACGAGTTCTTTGGTACTACTAACGAGATAGCGATTGTGTTGCTGTGGCTTCCTGTTGTGTTGATTTATCTGATGGATTTGCAAATATGGTATGCCATATTCTCTTCCATGGCTGGTGGGATAATTGGGCTTTTTTCCCATCTGGGTGAGATTCGAAATATCGGACAGCTTAGGCTCAGGTTTCAGTTCTTTGCTAGTGCTATGCAATTCAATCTCATGCCTGAAGAGCAGGTACAGCGTTCCGACATGTCAATGGTGAAGAAGCTCCGTGATGCCATCCATAGATTGAAGCTGAGATATGGACTTGGCCAAGCCCACAAAAAGATCGAGTCGAGCCAAGTTGAAGCCACCAGGTTTGCATTGATATGGAATGAGATTGTGATAACTTTTAGGGAAGAAGATTTAATTAGTGATAGGGAACAGGAGCTGTTGGAATTGCCGCCGAATGATTGGGGTATTAGAGTTATTCGTTGGCCTATTTTCCTGCTATGCAATGAGTTATTGCTTGCTCTTAGTCAGGCAAAGGAGCTGGCAGATGAGCCTGACTGGTCGCTTTGGTTTAAGATATGCAAGAATGAATATCGGCGCTGCACCGTCATTGAAGCTTATGATAGCATCAAGGCTTTGCTATTCAAGGTTGTTAGGTATGGCAGTGAAGAGTACTTGATCATTACGAATTTTTTCAAAGAGATAGATGACTGCATTCAGAGAGGAAAGATCACGGCGGAGTACAAGATGTCTTCACTTGAAAAAATTCATGCCAAGTTGATTTCACTTATTGAGCTGTTGCTGCAACCAAAGAGAGATATAAATAGGGCAGTGAATTTGTGGCAAGCCTTGTATGAGCTTTCGGTTCGAGAATTACCAAAGGTGAAGAGGTCCATTGAACAGTTGAGGCGGGAAGGGTTGGCTAGTGTCGCTACGGAAAATGATGCAGGTTTGCTGTTTGAAAATGCTGTTGAGTTTCCTGCGGCTGATGATGCAGATTTCTACAAGCAGCTACGGCGCGTCCATACAATACTCACTTCCAGAGACTCCATGTACAATGTCCCAAGTAACATTGAAGCAAGAAGGCGCATTGCTTTCTTCAGCAATTCTCTTTTCATGAACATGCCCCGCGCTCCGGTTGTTGAGAAAATGATGGCTTTCAGCATTCTGACGCCTTACTATGATGAGGATGTAATATTCAAACTAGAAGCGCTTCGGACAGACAATGAAGACGGCGTTTCCACGTTGTTTTATCTGCAGAAGATTTATGAAGATGAGTGGAAGAACTTCATGGAGCGAATGCGCAGAGAGGGCCTGGAGGATGACAATGATATATGGGATGCAAAGCCAAGAGAGCTCCGACTCTGGGCATCGTATAGAGGCCAGACGCTTTCTCGCACTGTTAGAGGAATGATGTACTATTATAGGGCCCTTAAGATGCTTGCCTTTCTTGATGATGCGTCTGAGATGGACGTAAGAGATGGGTCGCATCAAATTGCCTCTCATGGTTCATCAAAGCAAAATAGAGGTTTGGATGGTCTACAGCCACCTTCACGGAAACTCAGCAGAGCCGTTACTGGTGTAAGTCTTTTGTTTAAGGGGCATGAGTATGGGAGGGCTCTAATGAAATTCACATATGTGGTTACATGCCAACAGTATGGCCAACACAAGGCAAAGAGAGATTCCCGGGCTGAGGAGATCTCATACTTGATGAAAACCAACGAGGCTCTTCGAGTTGCTTATGTTGATCAGGTTAACTTGGGTAGGGATGAAGTTGAGTATTACTCTGTTCTCGTGAAGTATGATCAGCAGCTGGGAAGGGAAGTAGAGATTTATCGGATCAGGTTGCCTGGTCCCTTGAAGGTTGGTGAAGGCAAACCAGAAAATCAGAACCATGCTCTAATCTTCACTCGGGGTGATGCACTCCAAACCATTGACATGAACCAAGACAACTATTTTGAGGAGGCGCTCAAGATGCGGAACTTGTTGGAGGAATTTAAGGCCAATTATGGTCTTAGAAAGCCAACCATTTTGGGTGTCCGTGAGAACGTCTTCACAGGTTCTGTGTCCTCACTTGCGTGGTTCATGTCTGCCCAGGAAATGAGTTTTGTGACCTTGGGCCAGCGTGTTCTGGCAAACCCTTTAAAGGTGAGAATGCATTATGGTCATCCAGACGTGTTTGATAGATTCTGGTTCTTGCCTCGTGGTGGTATTAGCAAAGCTTCTAGAGTAATCAATATCAGCGAGGATATATATGCCGGCTTCAATTGCACCCTTCGAAGGGGCAATGTGACACACCATGAATATATACAGGTGGGCAAGGGGAGAGATGTTGGGATGAATCAGATCTCAATGTTTGAAGCTAAGGTTGCAAGTGGGAACGGCGAGCAGGTCTTGAGCAGAGATGTGTACCGGTTGGGTCATAGACTAGATTTCTTTCGAATGCTTTCATTTTTCTACGCTACTGTAGGGTTCTATTTCAACACAATGATGGTGATACTGACTGTGTATACTTTTTTGTGGGGCCGCCTTTATCTTGCTCTTAGCGGGGTCGAGAATGTAGCTAGTCAGAATTCCAGCAACAATAAAGCCCTTGGCTCAGTCTTGAACCAGCAGTTTATTATACAGATCGGTCTATTCACTGCCCTCCCAATGATTGTTGAGAACTCCCTTGAACATGGCTTCCTTCCAGCAGTTTGGGATTTCCTGACAATGCAGGCACAGCTTGCATCGCTTTTCTACACATTTTCCATGGGAACTCGCACCCATTTCTTTGGCCGGACTATTCTTCACGGGGGTGCAAAATACCGGGCAACTGGACGTGGTTTTGTGGTGCAGCACAGGAGTTTCGCGGAGAACTATCGACTTTATGCTCGAAGCCATTTTGTCAAGGCCATCGAGCTTGGGGTTATTTTGACCGTGTATGCCTCGCATAGCCCCAAGGCTCGCAATACTTTTGTTTACATTCTCCTGAATATCTCCAGCTGGTTCCTTGTAGTGTCTTGGGTACTGGCTCCTTTCGTGTTCAACCCTTCTGGATTTGATTGGCTGAAAACAGTAGACGACTTTGAAAATTTCATGAATTGGCTATGGTATACTGGCGGGGGGTTTACAACCGCTGATCAGAGCTGGGAAAAATGGTGGTATGAAGAGCAAGATCACCTGAGAACAACTGGTCTTTGGGGAAAACTTTTGGAGATTATCTTAGATCTTCGTTTCTTCTTCTTCCAGTATGGTGTTGTGTATCAGCTAGGCATTGCTGATAGTAACACCAGTATAGTTGTTTATTTGCTGTCTTGGATATTCATGGTTGTGGCTGTTGGAATTTATATGATCGTATCATTTGCCCGTGACAAATATGGTGTAAGGGAGCATATAAAGTACCGGCTTGTTCAGCTTCTTGTCATTATGGTTTTAGTACTTGTGGTGGTTCTGTTTCTGAAGTTCACTAAGTTCAAATTTCTTGATATCGCCACGAGTATGTTGGCGTTCATCCCCACAGGGTGGGGCATCATATTAATAGCGCAAGTTCTTAGACCATTTTTGCAGTCTACGATGGTGTGGGAGACGGTGGTTTCGGTGGCTCGGTTGTATGACATGCTGTTTGGAATTATTGTCATGGCTCCTATGGCATTGCTTTCATGGTTACCTGGATTTCAGGCAATGCAGACCAGGATCTTATTTAATGAAGCATTTAGCAGGGGACTTCAGATTTCACGTATTATTACGGGCAAAAAGTCCAACTGAGATGCAAGTAGAGGTATATTCTTATCCTTAAACGTCTCTTAAATTCTGGATTTCTCCACGCATACAGCTATACAACATGGGCTGGTGAAACCTGAAAACGAAAATTCACTGGGTGCATTTAGGCTTGCTCAGTTACACGGATCTTATTATTGCTTCCATTTCTTACAAACACAAACATCACTGGGTTTGCTATTTACAACCTGACGTCTTGCTATTTTTCAGGGAGTGGAATTCATTTTAGAAGACTTAGTAGATGGGCCAAATTCCAATGACCAAAGAAGCATTTTGTATGTAATTGCTGTTGCAGCTGAAGTTTGATATCTGGTTTTCACTTCATCATCAATTTCATTGCCCTTATTTGGCTGTTCATACTTCAATTCCCTCTAGAGATATTGTTGTACAACTGGGTACTGACATTGACAGAAATAGGCATGAGGTGTGGAGCATGTTGTTTTTGATAGCCGTCTTCTGGTCGTGTAAATATTGTCCATATCTCAAGGTAGCTTCTAGGCTTCTCAAAATCATTTATTGACTACTATAATCTCTTGTTGTTCTCTTCATTCGTTGTAAGCTGTTAGCTAGTTACTACTGATACACAATCAGATAGCACAGATGTTTATTCTGTGCAGTTTTATGAAGAGAAAATTTTGTTGTTCCCTTTCACAGATTTAAGATTCCATTTCAGTTTGTGCCTCAAAATTCTCATGTTCCACAACCATTTGCACTAATTTTGTGAAAAAGAATATTGTAATGAAGATCATAATGATGTTGGTAAGATTCAAGTATCATATTATAGAGGCCAAAAGCATAGTCTCGGAATGAAATGACTTTTTGTCGTACTACGTCGACATTGTTCGAAAAAGTTTGTGCAAGTAATGGTATAACGTATAACAATCTACCATTCTATAATCTTACCATGAAAAAAAATTTGTTGTGCTTTTATAACATATTTGGTAGCTTGTATTGTATTGTATTGTATAAAATGTATTGTATTGTGTTGTATTATCATAATACAATACAGTATTTGGTGGCATGATATATTGTATAAACAACAAGTCTTAATCCCAACTTAATTGGGGTCGGTTATATGAATTTTACTTTTTCACGTAGTTCTGTTCGAAATTAGACTTTCTTGAAAGCCTAGATTTAGAATGTCTTTACTGTATAAGCAGTTAAAATGTAAAATTTTAATAATTTTAGGGTCAAAATGTAATTTTTTAAAAGTTTTGGGGGGCTGAAATATATATTTTTTTTAAGTTTGAGTCAAAATGAAATTTCATAAAAATTTTGGGGTCAAAATGTAATTTTGAAAAAGTTTTGGGGTCAAATGTAATTTTATAAAAGTTTTAGGGTCAACATATAATTTTTTAAAAATATAAATTTGTACTGTCCCCTCAAATTTGCAAAAATTTTAGGCTACACCATTACCGTTTGTCGACTAAACTCCGATCTCTAGTCGTGTCCGATCACGACATGAATCATTGATCTACTATAAAATAATATAATACAATATGCCACAAATAAATCTTATTCAGTAATATAACATAGACCGTATTAATTTATCATTCGTATTAATTTATACAATACGATGGTCACGCTAAACATTATATTATTTTATTATTATATAATATGGTGTTTTAATACGGTCAAATAAACATCACTTTAATATATATTTCTAAAGCATGCCATTGTGTACCATTGTACATCTTGTTGAGATTTAATTTTGAAACAAATTTTTTTTTCTTGCTGGTCGATCGTAAAGGAACAATGTAAATTTATTATACTTTTATTCCAAAGTCATATACTGCTCCGGCAAAAGGAAAAAAAAATGTCACATATACCGTGAGACCATGGTATTATTATTCAACTGTGTATTTGGGTTCGTTTAGTTCGCCGATTTGAGTTTTTAATTCGAGTTGAAATGTAATTTTATGTGAGTTTTTTACTGTAGTAAAAAAGTTAGATGTGACTGTTTCTGAGAGTTTTTTTACTGTAGCAAAACTCAAATTTTAAACTCGAATCGATGAAATAAACGGGACTTAAATAAATCTATTCCATTTCACGCGTCCAGTTTTGATTAAAAACAAATATAGTTATGTATTTGTTATATATATGTTGACGGTGTTTTTCTGACAACTCGTGATTACCTCTCTGGAAACACACGGTTGCACTAACCACAGAGTCAAGTAATAAGCAGTAAAGTAATGTAGAAGGGACAAGGATTTTATAGTGGTTCGACAATAATTTTGTGCCTAATCCACTTGTGCATGCACTATTTTTTCAGATGTTTACAAGTTCTCTCTGTAATATCAATAGTGTCTAACCCCTTTATGGGTTTCGTTCCTTCTATTTATAGGCCTCTATCTTCGATTACATATTCCCGGCTCCCAAGGTGGAAGCCATCTTCTGTTCCCGATCCTCGTGAGGGTAGGTGGGTTTTTCATGATGACTTTTCTGGGAAATACGGCTGATCCTCTCAACCTGCCGCCTGACTTCTGCAGTAGCAGTCGGATCAGTACTTTCCTCCTCGGGTTGACATGACTCCTGGCAAAAAGGACCGACAATGTTCCCTCGACGCCGCGGTCCCAGTATGTAGAGCCCTCGCCCGGCGCCTCTCCTCTTGCGCTATCTCTCGACGTATAGGGCACGTGCCTTACCCTCGATGCCAACAGCTGGTCCTCCGCGCGGGAGTCTTCGGCGTCGGTCATTCGAAGGAATGGACGATGTCTGACTATGGTGTAACAATATATATATATATATATATATATATATATATATATATATATAGGGATGTTTTTCCGCCTCTCGGTTCATAAAGGAGGGTTTGTCCCTCGGTTTTAATTTTATCCGTGGTGAAGGGAATTTGATTGAGTAAACATTTGTTTTATTCATTATGACTTCCACAACCGGTCAATGAGATTATTAATTGCAGTAAAAACGACAATGCGTTTTGCATGTCTGAAAACTTTGCTGAAATAGTAGCTCGAGAATGCCCTGTTCTCTTACTCTTGAAAAAAAAAAAAAAAAAAAAAAGACCAATCCAGAGTAAGAATCAACTGCAAAGAGAAAGAATCAACCTTTGATTTAGAACGGAAGGGATTATGACGAAAGGTCAGTAAGTTTCCATGAACGATGTACTCAGTGGCGTTGGGGTTATAGATTTTTGATGCATGTTTAATATTTTTTAGCATTTAAGTAATTTTGCGCAGACAAAAAGCAGGGGTTATATGCATATTATTGACTTTTTTTTTCCTTTTTTCCGAATTACTTTGTTCCTCATATTGTATGTTACGTTTTTGGTGCCTAGTTGTTGCGTCTTTTAACATCCCGTACTAGGATGTTATATTCTGTCCATAGAAGCATTAATTTTACTTGGAAAAAATTAAGACAGGCATCGAAAATTGACTTCAGAGTCCAACCGGTTAATTGCAAGCTCAAAGCTTAAACAACTTCCATAATAGTTGCCCACGTTCCTTTTTCATCCTTTAAGTAGAGTGACTTTCCAATATAATATATCTAAAATAGACCATGGGACGCTAGAAGGAGCCTATATATATACACCCTTCGTTTCAATAAAAAAAAGTTCTTATATCACAATTAGAAACATTTTACATGTAAAACATTCAGAGGGCAGAGTGGCATCGCAAGTTGGCTACAATTTATTCCCTCGTCAGAAAAAGGCCTATACAAGCATGGGGAAGAGTTCAGAGAGCATAAATTTGAAGCTTGTGAAGCTTGCCTTTTGGTGGTCGTTTTCAGTTTTGCAACAAACCAACAGGCAACAGCACACCCTGCCGGAGCTCCTTTCCATGCATACCTTGCAGCTTCATTAGAATATGCTGCTGAGCGTCGACTGTAAGTGTTCCTCATAAAATGCAGCAAAGTAATATGTCTACTCAATTCAATGGACAAATTAAAGGAACGGAAATAATCTCTAAAAACTCAAAATAGTAGGATAGGTCATGTGTACTGCCCATTTTCCGATAAATAATACTTGAGGCTAGTAGCCTACTGTCATTGGAGCGTGTTTTTGAGACGAAAATGATAAAACGACGCCGCTTTAAGACTCTTGAAAGCGACATCAGAATTTGCATAGCTCTTGCATAGGGGAGCTTCTTCATTTTAACACCTCCAGGAACTGGTTATCAGTGCTCAAAAGTCAAAATCATCTGCGCTTCGGTAAGTCAAAATTATAGAAACAGTGGTGATTCATTTGCTATACCAGTTAGTTACATACAATGAAACAATTCTGAGTAAAACAAATATATATGTCTATATATATATATATATATATATATATTTTCTATGTGTCTTCCCCAATCTTTGCAAATGCCATGACATTTTATCTCATTTGTTATGACTCCAGTTCAAGATACCCAACCAATGCTGCTCTGATTTCAAACGTTGGTACAAATGCAGATGCCTCTTAAAGTTCTAAGAAACTTCTTCTGTTATAAATCCTCGTTGCTTATTACAGGGACTTTCTCATATGCAGAGTTCCGTCTAAACCTTCTAGGCAAAATGCAATGGGCACCAAATCTTTGCTGCAAGAAAATTAGGACAGCAAACAGCAGACCACAACAAGGGATGACTATATCCCACGCGGTGGAATAGAAGTCCATTTTATGGCTTGCATAAATGTAGGATAAATCCAGGTACGAAGCATAAGCATGAGCCCTATAAAGATCATACGCGTGAGGCAGAAGACGAACCACGGTAGTTCCGGCGTAAAACAGAGGAGCCAAAGCCTTTTCTCCTGAATTGAAGAACAAGTTGAAGAGTATTTGTGGGAGCAGAAAACCATCCATGACTAAACCGGCATAAGATTTCAGGTCATTCCAAAGAGAATGCCGCTGGAAAGAATGCCGCTGAAACGCTCCTTTTGGAGTCCCGGAATTGTTCTTCAAGTAGTTTACAAACCAAGCAATCAATGCCCCGCTTACATACAGAGGTAAAGTAAGATAAACGACCTTCCTCTCAGAATTCCACAGGCTCTTTTCATTTCCATTACCTTGTCTCGATGACCAGGTCAGCTGGAGAAGGCGTAACTGCAAAAGGAAGGCTACCATCGTCACTACTCTGACAATTACTTCGTTTACCTCAAGCCATCCAGCATTTCCAAGAAAAAGATTCTGCCTGCTACGATTTGGGACGAACAAGGCCTCAAAGTTCAACAGAAGAGGAATCATGTGGCCCATGGTAAGAACAATAAGCATCGTAATGGAAATGGATGGAAGTACATCTGGATGTGATTTTACATAGAAGAGCTGCAAGCCCACAAACACACATGTTAGGGTATTGGAAATGAGAACCATCGTTATCTCCAGGTCTATTCTCCAAATGGATGCTGCAGCTTGGCCAGTGTAGATTGAACTAGACGACAACTCGAGACGGCCAAAGTAAAGTGGGTCAGATGTTTTCCTTGTGCTTTCAATAGTGCCTTTGATGCCTCTTCCCGTATTTGCATTTAGAGGAGAAAACTGGATACTAACCATAACCTCACAGTCTAATGTCTCATTTGGAGCCAAGTTTTGAGCTTTTGATCCAAGATGACGGCATCCCGTCATGCATAACACACCAGTATCTCTAGCATAAGTTCCTTCAGCAGAAATTTCCACTGCGCTGGACAGAGAACTATCACGACTGAACTTGAAATCAGGTGGAGGTGTGAAGCTAATTTTGTAGCTAATATTCACTACGCTGCTGTTTGATGTAACTGAAAACTCTGTCTGCGATACTTGCGGAGAGGAAGTCTGGTACCCGAAGAACTGGTATCTATAAAGCTGATTACCCACATAAAATGGTGCTGAGTAGCCGCTTGCAACTTGTCCTTTGCTGTTTCTCACTGACATGTCAAATCTCATGTCCAATGAATACTCATTTGGATACGTCTTTCCCTTGCCTCTAGCAGCATTCTTTTTCACACAAGTTTCTCTGAGGGTGTCAATCACAGTATATTCATACTTAACACCTAACAAACCCAATAACTCTTCATTGAAACTCCGGAACCCAATTTTATCAAAGTGGCCCGAACTATTTGCGGCACTTGTGCTCCAAATTTTTCCAACAATATTACTCGCATTTCGTAAAGACAAACTCGCCGGAAATCTCAAGCTGAACCCAATGGAGCAATCTCCAAAATAAGCATTATCAAAAGACTCGGTGAAGTTCAAAATCCGGCACGCAATGGCACAGAATTGATCCTCCTTCTCATTCCACCCTCCTTCAGCAATGAAACTAGTGCTTGGTTCAAAAGGAAAACTGTTACCACTATAGCTAGAGTTGGGAAAACCCAGCAGCATTTTCCATTTATTCCCTTCATCACACCTAATCCTGTGATAAAACATGTAATTAGGCACGTAGCCAAAACTTCCATCAAGAGGATTGCAATTACCACCATTACAATCACCACCATACTCCAAATCAAACCTCTCTATACCTCTAAGAACAGAGCATCTCTCAAAGTTCGGCAAAGCCAAAAAACTCTCCCCTCTATTTTCTCCATTCAAGCATCCAATACCATTCTCTTTTCCTATCAATGTATATTCATAATTCGAATCCTGAGACGACAAAGCCAAAATTGAAATCGGCGAAAAGTAGCTCGAACTACCATTACCATCCAAACTCTCTAAACTCCCACTAATTAAACTTGAGTTTATACCAGAATTACGCGGGTAATTAAGCTTAAGAACAACGCGAAGAGAGTTCACCGTACCGCTATGAAGAACCGCGCCCGATCCAACCATGCAAAGCTTCCGAGAAGTCTCCGACCAAAACCCCTGGAGCGTGAAGCTCAGACGCCCGCTCCGCATCGGAAACCTCGGTCCCCGGAACCGAACCAGACGCAGATTCCGGCGACCGGAGTACGGCAACGAGTCGCCAAGATTCAGCGCTGCTCGGTATCTGTAGACGCCGTCGGCGAAAGTCGTCCCGGTGAAGTAGGGATGGAAGAACACCAATTGCGGCTTCGCGGCGCCTCCGGCGATCGGAGTTCGATTGAAGAGTGGGTTTCCACCTCTGAAAGAGCCAATCTGGAAATCGGCGGCGCCGGAACCGGAGGGGAGGAAACGGCCGGAACGCAAGGGAGATTGCGGGACGATGTGATTGCAATGTCGGTTGTACGAGGCGTGGAAACCCGAGGTCAAGATTGGCGGTTCCTCGGAGGAGATGTTGGGGAATAAGCTGGCGCAGAGGATGAAGAAGAAGATGAGAAGGAAGGGTGTGGATGAAGGATTTTGGGTTGGTGAAGGGCTTATTTGAAAAAATCTTTGTTTAGATTTGTGCAAGGAAGGAGAAGAAGAAGAAGTAGCCGCCATTGTTGTGCTTGTGGTAGAGAAAGCAGATCAAGGGTGAAGATTGTTATTGTTATTTCTGAGTTCGCTCTGTTTGCTTTTCTGTTTTTGTTTTTGCTCAAAACACACTTTTGGAGACACTCTCAAAACGGCGGCTGCTTTTCTTTTTCTGGAAAAGTGGCTGCATCATCAACGTTAAGACCGCAGATTTGTAAAGAAAAATTAATTTTGGACACAAAACAAATCAAGTGAGGTGGCATATTAGGGAGTCGATCTTTGCCCATTTTCTCTTATAAAAATCACAACTCAAATTCTTTTTTTTTAATAATATTTTTTTATAAAAATTTAAATTTAATTTTTTTATTATAATATTTTTTTTTCACGTAAAAGATTTAAATTATAAATAAAAAAAACACATTTTATATGTCAACAGGACCCGCACTCATAAAAAGATAGGTGTAATTAGATGAGTGTCTCACCTATATATTTAATGAGACCCATTTTACGTGAGGCCGGTTGAAACTCTTTTTCAAATCAGAAATGAAATGAATTGAGGCACAAGGAAGGAACGCTACAGGACAGGCAATTTCTCAAAAAAAAAAAAAAAAAAAACTTGAGAACATCCTCAACGTCGCATATTAACATAAGAGAATTTTTTTGGTAGGCCCTTCTAAAAAAAATAAATTATTAATAATTTTTTTATTTTCAATCGTTAAAATCTCTATCATAAATTACTGTTTTGTATATTTTTTAAATTTAATATAATTTAATTAAATTTAACTGTTAAAAAATTAATTCTACTGATAAGATAAACCTATTAGAGATACTCGTGTGAACCTCATCTTTAGAATATGTTTGGTAGGAAGAAAAGAAAATATGATAGAAAGGAAATATGGAAGTGATGGAAAATAACAATGATGGAAAGAAAATTAATTTTCTTTTATGTTGTTTGGTATGAAAAGATTGAAAGAAAATGAACTTACATTCAATTGTTTGGTATTGAAAGTTAAATTGGGAGGAAAGAGAAAATTTTACTCGTAAATTACTTTTATACCCTTAAATTTTTTGCTTGGATGTTGACGGAGAAAATGGTAGTTTAGTAACTTTACTCACTTTAATGAGTTTTTCCCATTTTCTGCCCATTTGTGGAAAGAAGAAAAATGGTGGGACCTACATGTACTATTTTCCACTCAATTTTCTCTTCATTTTTCTTTTCCCTCCTACCAAACAACCTACATTTCTATTTTCCCTCTCATAATCTCTTCACCTTCTTCATTCCTTCTACTTTTCTTTCCTACCAAACATACTCTTAAAGTTCGTGTGACTCATTTTTTATTGGGATGCGGTATTGAATACTAATGTCTACAACTATAGCATTGTTCTTTCACCGTGTAGTCAATTTTGTAAGCATTATTTGAGGGACATTAAAACACATTTTGCTTGATAAAAAACAACTCAAGTTTCAGTATTTCACGTGAATTTGACTATCATTCAACCTAAAGAAATAAAGAAAGAAAGAAAGAAAAAAAGAAAAAAAGAAAGAAGAAAAAGATAACTGCTCAGTCCACCAAAAAAATGACTGATCATAAGGTAGTTCTATTTTTTTTTTTTTTTATATTAAAGAACAAAGGAGATATATATGTAGTTACATTGTTTGAAACTCATAAATACATCAAAAAGTTCTCATCTGAGGCCTTCATCTTTTCACTTTTGGCTTTAGGACAGGGTCCACTTCTCATTTTGTTCTTTATCCTTTCCTCTTTTACCCTGCTTTGTCTTGCTTTTTAGCTTTTCATTTAAAAGGACCTTCAAAAATGATTCCAAAGGAGGCTAAAACAAGTTGCTGGAAAAAAAAAAAAAAGAAAAAGAAAAAAAGAGTGAAGCAAATGTTTCGGGGAAAAGTGGCTGCATCATCAACGTTAAGACCGCAGATTTGTAAAGAAAAATTAATTTTGGACACAAAACAAATCAAGTGAGGTGGCATATTAGGGAGTCGATCTTTGCCCATTTTCTCTTATAAAAATCACAACTCAAATTCTTTTTTTTTAATAATATTTTTTTATAAAAATTTAAATTTAATTTTTTTATTATAATATTTTTTTTTCACGTAAAAGATTTAAATTATAAATAAAAAAAACACATTTTATATGTCAACAGGACCCGCACTCATAAAAAGATAGGTGTAATTAGATGAGTGTCTCACCTATATATTTAATGAGACCCATTTTACGTGAGGCCGGTTGAAACTCTTTTTCAAATCAGAAATGAAATGAATTGAGGCACAAGGAAGGAACGCTACAGGACAGGCAATTTCTCATAAAAAAAAAAAAAAAAAACTTGAGAACATCCTCAACGTCGCATATTAACATAAGAGAATTTTTTTGGTAGGCCCTTCTAAAAAAAATAAATTATTAATAATTTTTTTATTTTCAATCGTTAAAATCTCTATCATAAATTACTGTTTTGTATATTTTTTAAATTTAATATAATTTAATTAAATTTAACTGTTAAAAAATTAATTCTACTGATAAGATAAACCTATTAGAGATACTCGTGTGAACCTCATCTTTAGAATATGTTTGGTAGGAAGAAAAGAAAATATGATAGAAAGGAAATATGGAAGTGATGGAAAATAACAATGATGGAAAGAAAATTAATTTTCTTTTATGTTGTTTGGTATGAAAAGATTGAAAGAAAATGAACTTACATTCAATTGTTTGGTATTGAAAGTTAAATTGGGAGGAAAGAGAAAATTTTACTCGTAAATTACTTTTATACCCTTAAATTTTTTGCTTGGATGTTGACGGAGAAAATGGTAGTTTAGTAACTTTACTCACTTTAATGAGTTTTTCCCATTTTCTGCCCATTTGTGGAAAGAAGAAAAATGGTGGGACCTACATGTACTATTTTCCACTCAATTTTCTCTTCATTTTTCTTTTCCCTCCTACCAAACAACCTACATTTCTATTTTCCCTCTCATAATCTCTTCACCTTCTTCATTCCTTCTACTTTTCTTTCCTACCAAACATACTCTTAAAGTTCGTGTGACTCATTTTTTATTGGGATGCGGTATTGAATACTAATGTCTACAACTATAGCATTGTTCTTTCACCGTGTAGTCAATTTTGTAAGCATTATTTGAGGGACATTAAAACACATTTTGCTTGATAAAAAACAACTCAAGTTTCAGTATTTCACGTGAATTTGACTATCATTCAACCTAAAGAAATAAAGAAAGAAAGAAAGAAAAAAAGAAAAAAAGAAAGAAGAAAAAGATAACTGCTCAGTCCACCAAAAAAATGACTGATCATAAGGTAGTTCTATTTTTTTTTTTTTTTATATTAAAGAACAAAGGAGATATATATGTAGTTACATTGTTTGAAACTCATAAATACATCAAAAAGTTCTCATCTGAGGCCTTCATCTTTTCACTTTTGGCTTTAGGACAGGGTCCACTTCTCATTTTGTTCTTTATCCTTTCCTCTTTTACCCTGCTTTGTCTTGCTTTTTAGCTTTTCATTTAAAAGGACCTTCAAAAATGATTCCAAAGGAGGCTAAAACAAGTTGCTGGAAAAAAAAAAAAAAGAAAAAGAAAAAAAGAGTGAAGCAAATGTTTCGGAGGAAATGACGCGTCAAAGAAAATGAAAATTAAAAGAAGATTAAATCATATGCAAATTACTCCATTTATGCATCCTTGAGGCAACCTTGATATGAGATCATAGACTTACAAGCACACAAATCCAACTTATTGCCATTACTTGAGTTTTCTTCACAACACCAATACATCTATTATAATTACACCTTATGTGGACTTCTTTCCACTGCATCTATAATCACCATTCACAACATGTTGGAAACACAGCAAGCCCCAAAACAAAAGGCACACTTTTTAATCTTGTGCTCTTGTTTTGATTTATTCACTCCACTTCTAAAACTTTTTAATTTTTGTTGAATAAGTTTCAAGCAACCCACTGTCAAATATACATATTATACACGAGAACTTTATGCAGCAATCAGCCTGTTTGTTTTTCTGGCACTGCAAGCTGGCTGCAATCGATTCCCTTATCGAAAAATGCCTCTACAAGCTTGGGGAAGAGTTTAGAGAGCATGATTTTGAAGCCTGTGGAGCTTCCCCTTTGATGGTCGTTTTCGGTTTTGCCACAACCAACAGCACACCCCACTGAAGCTCCTTCCATGTATGCCTTGCAGGCCATTAGAATATGTTGCGAGCGTAGACTGAAATGTTCCTCTACAAGTGCCTCAAAATGCTGCAAAGTAGTAAAGTTTAGTCAAATCATGAAAGACAAATTGAAGGAACAAAACTAATTTTTCTCTGTCGAACACGGTAGGGTCTTGGTTTGGTCTATTGCCCATTTTCATATAAATGACACTAAAGAAGATGAAAATGATAAAGGACATTTGTAGCACCCAACACCACAACTCACAATGGAATAGGTACCACACGCGAGCCTCACATGCGGGGTCCCTCCCTACAGTGAGTTATGATGCTGAGCACCGGTAATGCCCAATAGCACTGCTCTTTTGAGACAATTTCAGTTAGACTGTACAATTTACTACATTCATAGATTATCCGACAATAGTCACATACTAAGTTGTTACTCTAATGGCCATTTACTATCCAGTAAAACCCATATTAGATTAAGCATTGTACCTTTGGTGGCTTTCGGAGCAGGTACAACATGGACTTGCAGGTCATGAGAAACGCGTTCTCATTATAGCTTACTGAATTCTTCTCTCCTTCAGCTTTTCCCATCTGCTGATCATATCCAGCTTCATTGAAGTAAGGCTTCTCATTAAGCACAAGAGCCTGAAGAGAGAGAAGAACTTGCAAAATACTGGAGCTCCCTGGATTCCACACTTCAGTGTCTGTTCCAGCCCACGTATTCAGCAGACTGAGACAGACCTTGCCAGACTCGTACAGGTTCGGGTTAACACGAAGCCCACCAGAAATATAATGCACCATCTGTAGAGAATTTTCACATCCAAGATAACTAATGTAAGATTTTCATCTTTTCATCGAAATACCAGTCGTTATGAAAATCATAAGGTTAATGATAAGCACTGCAGAAACTTACTGGTGGTTCATGAGGATATTCTGGAGGAAGGTATATGTCAAAGAAGAAAAGTCCATCATGGTAGGGAGTTCCAGGGGTGCCAACAATGGCTGCCCGGATAAGATCCATCCTTTCCTCAAAAATGCGGACGTAGATTGTTTCTGTTTAGATAAGAGAAGCTTTTATATGTCAAACTGCCACCGTGATAGAAAAATTTTCAAAAAGAAATTTCTATTTAATTATTTTAGGGTTCCATTTTGATTTACTATGGATTTAGAACGATCAAAAAACTTTTTCTTTTTTTTTTCCAAATTCCTTAAGTGATTGATATTGTAAGAGTTGAGATTGATTGCTAAATGAAATGCTCAATGGAATGAAAAAGATTAAGGTACTAACCAGGGAGTTCTTTCTCTAGTATGCTCCATTCTTGCTGAACCTTCTTTACCCAGCTTCTTTTCACCTACAAGGAAACAAAATGCAATGGAAAGGAATTAAAGGACTATCTTGAGAACTAGAATGTGACAATTTACACCTACACAAATTTGTAAAAAATTCTCTCACCTGAGACAACGCGAATCCTTTACCGGCACTTATAAAATTGTGATCTGAACAATCTGCAGCCATATCAAACTGCCTAAACTTATCTGGATTATTACTGTACGTCGACTGCTGCAGATCTTTATTCTCTGGAAGCTGTTTAGCTTCCTGATTCAATATTTTCTTGACAAATGTATCCAATTCATCAATTATTTGTGGCTCATTGCACAGATCACTCCCTTCCAGCACTTCCTTTTCTTTAGGGATCCCAGACTCGCTTCCGACTTCAGGAATATGGACCAATGGTGTTGAACCCGAGCGGGATGTGGAACCAGACGTGCCAAGTAGACTTGAAGCGATGCTTGTTAAAAATCCAATGGCGGCTTGTGGAAGGAAAAAGGAAGTGGACTCCCATAGGTGTTTCTTGCAACCATCGCCAACACTGTCTGAATTTAGCAAACCCTGAACGTGAAACTACAATTAATTGATGTTGAAAAGAGAAAATGTCATACAAGATTTTATACATAAACTTATATTCCTTGTTTCTTCCACTAGAAGTTGCTAACATCAATACATGCGTTTTGTAAATTCCTTTTATATTATATCCTTTATTCTTACTCAAATTCAATATATACTTCCAGCTTCACTTATTTCAGACAATTGTCTACTTAATTACTCAGTTTCGGAACATATTTTCCCACAGTAAAAGTTTGCTGGTACTATTATGCACTGCATCACAGTGGGAAAATGCAAAAGAGCAAGAAAGCTAGTTTTACCTTATCCATTGAAGTTTGTTTGTCAAGTTCAGTCATCTCTTCATTCAAGCCCTCCACATCGACTGGAACCGTATGGTCATGTTTATCGACCCGATAAATTTCATATGGAGCGACCTATCAGAATCACGAGTAAATAATATTGGATCTCACTTTCCTATAACCAATCCAACACATAATAAATCCAAAAAAAAAAAAAAACAAAGATTCAGTACCTTGCTTATAATACCAGAAGCCCATTTCACCTCCACAGCACCATGTTTGAAACCTATAACATTGCCAATGCAAGATAGGTAACATTTCTGAGGAAACTTGTTCTCATCACTCCCATAGCCTTCCACAGCCCTCTCCTCAGCCATGGCCTCTGTGTTATTATCCGCTTGATCATCAAACTGATTACGCACCGGTCTAAACACAAGATCACCAAAACAGTAGCAGTAGTCTGGGTGTTCGACAAGCTCGTAAGCGCTCACAGTTTCTACCATATGTTTACCATCCATATCTTTCATTTCAGCAGTAGTATTAGTCTTCCACTGCACCTTCACTGTTCGTTCCTTCGCATCCATACCCAAAACCACACCCCATCTTTGGCCACTAGGCACGTGTGGGTCATCACAGGTGCCTTTCTCTAGCACAAACTGTTCAGGCCAAAACTCATAAGAATTTACTGCACTCGCAGGAAGCAACGTCTGCGAGTCTAGTCCCAAAGAGATACTCCCATTTTGCCACACAACATCAACTTTAATTTTTGTCTTCACAATCACAAAAATTGCATCAAAGTTTGAACCAAGGTTTCTTCCTCTAACCCCTCTCTCAAACTTCTGTTCCATAACACCCATATGACCAGAAACTTGAAGTACACACCAGTCACCAAGTTGCCAATTTGCATGCAAAAAGCATGACAATAATGTCAGCTTTTTTGACTCCAGCATACGTGGCGGAGAAGGAAGATTGAGATTACTAACTGTGAGTATGGATGCAAGCCAATCAACATATACCAAACCCGCTTCCACAGCACAAACAGTTCCTTCTTCTTGATTCTTCTTCCAAGTACCACATAGCCATTTGGCCGACTTGGAGACAGTTGAAAGCTTAACTTTGACTCTTTGTCCTGGATAGTACGGGTATTGCGCATCTTCAAGTATGTTTGGAGATATAGGCACCAGCTTGTCTTGATCCATGGCGTTGACCTCATATTTTGTCCCATCATCAAAAACAACAGTTACAAGGTCAACCACCTTTTCCACTTTACCTATCCATGGCCCGCAAACAACATAATCTCCCACCGAAAAGGATCGAATCTTTGATAGATTTTTGGAGTTTATATCTTTTATAATTTTTCCATGAACGTTTTCCAAATCAACAAGCAGCTCAATGCCAACAACTCTTCCCATTTGGCCCGATGGATCTGTCACAGAGAAAACCATGTCCCCATGCATAAATCCTCTCTCAAATGAGAGAAAATCATCAATTTTTTCAATGCTCTGCTCCAAACTTGATAAAAGGCTCTGGGCTTGCCCACCATACAAAAAGTCTACTTCCTCTTGGTCCTCCATGCCACTTTCACTAGAAGAGTCCCAGTCAGAGTCGCTGAGGAGGAGATCCATCGTGAAAATGCCTACCAGTAGACAAGTATACATTATTTATTATTACTAACATTACATGTAGTATGTATATATGTAGTGATAATGTATAAAAAAGCATTACTAAAATATTAAAACGAATAGAGATATAAGAAAAATAATAATAGATAAAACAAAATAATGTTGCAGGGCATCCTACCTCAATCACAAAAGTAGATAAATCACAGTTGCACTTTTGCCACAAATACTAGGATAATCTTCAGAATCACAAAGATAGGACCTTTCTTTTTTTTTTTTTTTTTTTTTTTTTTTTTTTTTTTTTTTTTTTTTTGATATGGACAGGACCTTTCTTAGGATATGAAGCTCTTCAAAGAAAGCATATAAACCTGTCTAAAACAAAGATATCATTGTATAACTATCCTATGAAACTTTAGCATGGATAAGAGATTATTATGTGATAGAGTTTGGAAGGTTTAGTTACTTTAGTGTGAAAGATATAAGCCAAAGTGATCAATTGCATTTTGCTTAAAATAGAAACTTTAAGCAACTTAGGATTGACTTGCTAATAATAACAACATATATGATAAACTGACGATGAATCATATTAAAGTAATAATATAGAGGGAAGTTGAATGCTACCTTCTTTCACAATGTGGAACAAGGAACAATTGTTTCAGTCGTCAAAGTCCTCAGCCGGCACAGCTATAAGAATCAATAGTTTGTGCGGATCCCAGCGGAAAAAATAATGCTATTGGAAAATGGCTCTTTGAGATAGACAGCTGATTTTCGACACAAATGATGTGCCGGTTGTAATGCCAAAGGAGATTTGCCCTATCAAGGACGATGAGAGTCGACGAATGACTCCCTAATGCCAAAGGAGATTTGCCCAATGAATGGACTCAAGATTTCTTCTAGGAGATAAATCTTCCCAGAAGAAATTTTGATATGAAGTCCCGACTGCAGATGGCAATGAATTGCTACTACTAGCTGAGTTATTTCCCAAAGGAAGGGGTGAATTTCGCAGAGTAAATACTGTCAAAGGAGATCTGCCCTACAGCAGGAGTGAAGTAGAGATAGATTAATTTCCAACGATAAATGCGAATGTCACCCAACCAAAGGGAAATTTTGTAACTTTTGCCAAAGGAGATTTGCCCAAAAGAGCTGAATCCTCACTTAATGATATGTTCTTTATACATGTATGAATAAAACTACCAAAAAGATCCTAAATTTATTGCCAAAGGAGATTTGCCCCAACCACTGCCAAAGGAGTTTGAATTGTATAAAGAGTTCAACCAACCAACAGAAACTCAGGAGTCAGGAAAGCAACATACAATCCACCAACAGAAACAGCTTGTTAGATATGTATCAGGGCTCGATATACAGCCATTTGGCAATAGACCAGATCATGACTCTCAGATGGCTGTCTCAAAAATCACTTGTCATTGCAAGAGCTTAAAAAACCTCTCTTAAAATTTCTGAACAACTAGCAATAACACCTCTTTTACCACAACCAGCTGCTATTTTCTGATGACTCTAAGAAAACCTTATGTAACCGCAAGAGGAAGCTTCGCCTATCAGCTTGTAATTCTTGGGAACCTGCATTAAAGCGCTTGTTAATATTTTCGAAAATTCTCAACATGACATGATGAACTGAAATAGTAATAACATCTGAGAATACATTTTCTATGTCTACAATTTCCAACTTTCTTGTTAAATACATACTCCTATCTCAAATTAAAAAAGTAAAAAGTTAGGTTTAGGGAGAGGCAATACAAGCATATGAAGTGAAGAGATTCCAGAGATCAAATTATGTGATTTAGTGATTTCTGTATTTTATCGATTTAGTTTCTCATACACAGTGGAATCCATTGAAGGATAGCTTTGAAAGACTAGATTAACAACAGGATATTTGTCTAGGTATTTTCTTTAAAAAAAAAACAAAAAAAAAAAAACAAAGAACAAAGAGATTTAACAGATTATATCCATTGTTATCTTTAGTACAAATAAGTGAGAGAAAACCATATTCTTGGAATATGGCAGCTACTAGCATTTCAGAGTTGTTTAAGGACAACAAATAATAAAGAAATTGCCAATTTTAATTCCATGGAAGAAAATTTTGTACAAGACATAAACTCATAAAGAATGCTTCTATGATGCTTCATCATTCAAAGCAAGCACTTCAGATTTCCTCAATTAAATTTTTCTTTAATGAATTAGATAAGAAACAATAGTATTTTTATGATATATACTATAAAATTTATAACAAAACGTGAAGGACCAGTGTTTTAAGAGACAGTAGAGCAACAATTTCAGAAATACAAAAACTCTACCTCCAACCAAATTATTTGGGAAAATGGGAAGTGAGCATCTTTCACATAATATTTTTATATTCCTACATTAACTAGGTTTAAACCCATTTTCGTACTCCACTTACACAAAGTTTTGCATGTAGATACATCCAAATTAAAGACAAATCCAACATCTTCAAAACCAACAATCATGTTAAAAGTTCAAACAAACAAATGAAGCTAGCTTTTTTTTTTTTTTTTTCCTTTCTTTCTTTTCTTGAATAAGAACAAATTCCAACCCAAAAAAACCAAGTTTGTCAAACAATTAGCAATATAAAAGAAAGGAAGCATAGAATTCACACGTTTAATGTCCAAAACTTCTAATACAACCATGATATTGGTCTTGTTTCGGCAATAGTTATAGAAAACAAATATTCAAAATTGGTTTCATCCATCAACAATCAGAACTAATAACAAAAAAGAACGAATAAGTTAATAACAATAAAATTAAAAGATATATTTATATATATATATATATATAGAAAGAAAAGTACCATTTGCTGCTCTGGAACCATTGAAAGATAGCAAATTGGCATCAGCACTACCGAAAAATTACCAGAAAACAGCCTTAAAATCTCCAAAAAGCTGATTAAACAAGCTTGACCCAGATCATGACTCCTTGCAATAAATTGGTTCCACTACTTTTCTTTTCCATTCAATTCCTCTCTGCATTTAATAAACTATCACAGCTTCACACGAGGAAAAAAAAGCTGAGAATTCAGAGAGGCCAAGTCCCTCCCTGAATCCCGCCCATCATGCCACCATAACCAGACCTCGAAACCATTGCACGGTGACACACATACACAGAGCTTCTCTCTCTTCTCTTTCTCTCTCTAGCTTGGTGTTCGAATCGTTGAAGTTCTGGTTGAGTGAGTGGGGTTGGTGTTTTGCACAGCCAATTAGATATATGGGAGTATTGAATGGATACATGGGAGAATATACCAACAGTATCTATCAGACACATACTACAACATTTATCGTTAAACTAAAGAGTTAGCCAACTTTCAAAATTCCACTACTACCCCTTCATGTTTATTTTGCTTTTCATTTTTTGCTATTTTTTATTGAAAAAAAAAATTGATATGGGAATTTATTTGGGCAAAAAAAAAAAAATTTACAGGAGGAACTTTACTTTATATTCTCCAATTTTTATGAAAATTCCAGTAATGGCCTTGGAAAAAAAAAAGCTTAGTGTGGAGCGACCAACTCTTTTTTGACATGATCACAATAATTCTTACGCGTTAAGAAATATTTATAGTAATATGGGTCATAACATGACAGCATGACTCGAAAATGACACGAATTTTACGGGTTAGAGTTAAGAAAAAAGAGATTCGTGTCAAAATTGGGTCGACCTGAAATTGACACGAAAAACATGGGTCAATTTCGGGTTAGATTCGTCTAATCCGAACACGACATGAAACTCGTAAAAAACTAGAAAATACATATATTTTTCATTATATATTTTTTATTTTATTATGAACTTGTGATATCACGATATAACATACTCAAAATTGTATACTATTATTTGCTTAATTTCAATGGATGTTATTGTATTTTAGTGTGTTATGAATTTTAAGCTATTTTTAATATGTAAAAAACTAAATAAAAGTATACAATTTTCGTGTCAATTTCAGGTTCACGAGTCAATTTCGTGTCACGGGTTATTTTTATGTTGTGTCGTGTCAACCCGTAAAGTGGTTGTGTCGTATTCGTGTTACGGTTTTTAAAAAATTTCACTGTAAATTTAAATAGAAACGATCAAAATACGGCACGTTACATGAATTGCTACCCCTAATTTACAGTAAGCTATAACTATTTAAATTGGGAAACAAAGTGCGACATCCCAATGTCATTGATTTTCATGAAAATTTAGTTAAAATTTATATAATTGATTATATTATACTTTGAAACAGTCTCATATTATGAATATGTGTTTTCTTTAAGAATTCCTTAATTAGATTGACTTTTTATTCTTTATTTATTATTATTATTTATTTTTGAAGAACTCCTTAGAGAATATAAAGTTTTATGAGACTGATCTTAAGTCACTATTCGAGCACGAATACTCTCATTTAAGATAGTATTTTGTGTATAAAGTCTCAAATTCAGAGTCTTTTACGTACGGATTTTTTGAGGCATACTACTTTAAAATCTCATTATTCTAATTCATGAACTAAACGGCTGAGACGTTTGATTCATGGATTAGAATCATAAGATTATAACTATTTTTGATTTACGTGTATTTTTTATGAAAAAAAATACTGTAACGAACCATGAACCATAATTTAAATCATGGTATGAATATTCTTACCAAAAGTCTAAACCCGTTATTAGTACAAATAAAAATAAAAAACGTATCCAGCTTGGAAAAAGCAACCCCAAATTCAACCCCTATGGAGTTTCTATTATGTCAACGCAATCATGAAAAAGAACCTAAAAATTAATATTCCCCTCCAAAGTGGAAATTTTAATGGGAGGTTCTAAATGGAGGCAAATTTTAATTCATGTGTAATACTACTTTAAAAAAACCACTATTACATCTTCTGTTTTGTCAATTTTGAGACCCCAGAAAGCCATTAGCACTAGCATAAAAACCAGCACTTAAAATGTAGACCAGTTTTTACCTAAATTTGAAGTAATATTGCATATCAAGGGACCACTTCAAAAGAAAAGAGTGATCAAAGCACCAAATTTTGTACCTTTTTTTCCCTGTCTGAACATGTGTTTGAAAAAGACTTTTTAGGCATCTTTATAAGAAGCTTACATATGCTATTTTCTTTTCCATTGTTAGCACAAAGAATATTCTTCACCTTCATTCAAAATAATGGATTGTGGAATTCCATACGGCCTTTGCATAAACATGCATAGAGAGAAGATTGTATTGCAATTGTGTTTGTTTATTTAGAAACTAAAATATTTATTTTATATTCAAGCACAAAAATGGGATTTATATACCATGTTGACAAAATGCTTTAGCCAAACTTAATGAGTTTGAAAACCAATGACATTATGAACCAGTCTAAAAGCCTGAAACTGGTTCTTCTTTGGCACAAACTTGAAGAGTAAAACGTAAAAAAAAACAGCACTAAAACACATGTATTAGAAAGGCAAAAGAATAACAAAATACCATTTGTAATGAAAATGACAAGTTCCTAACTACCTTCTTTCCCCTTCAATAACCACAGATTTTTTTTTTTTTTTTTAATTATTGTTGTTTTATCCCAACCCCTTTTGGGATGGACAAAGTGGCAGTTCTTTTTTTTTTTTTGTTACTTATCTACTATGAATTTTTCCCTGTTTATGATCCAAATTCCAGTGATCCCCTGGTGATGACAAAGGGTGAAAATTCTTCGAGAGATTTTGTCTCCCTTTTCGCTTTTTCCCCTTCTTTTATGTAACCATTTAAAAAGTGTCCAACTTGGAAGATTTTGAAGTACCACATTTTTATCACAGTGGAAAAACCATTGCACATTTTTGTAATCAAACTTTTACAGAGCCAACCCCACCTCCAAAAAGAAATCCATGATGCTTCTTAAGCTTCACAAATTGACAGTCAAAGCACCAAGCAAGTTGGCACTGCAAGTTCCTTCACTAGTTCTATCATTTGACTATATACAATTATATTGATCTTTCTTTATCTTTTTTTTTTCTTTTTTTTTTTTTGAATTTTATTTCATGCATAACTCTCACTTTTATTAGTCACTATATGTTATTTCTAGTGTCAAATTTACCATAAGACCATCAGTGAAAAGGCTTGAGTAGTGAGTTCATAGCATCTTTATTCTCACATGGCTTCTAAGCCATGAACCACATTTTGCTGAAAATTTTCAATTTTTGTCCATTTCTTTCTTCATCTTTGGCTCTCACTCTCATATCTATAGGCACAGTACAAACAGAAGCCAACACGAGATAATTATGTGCATTATTTAGTATAGTGGATTTCATGCATCAGAACAACACTACATTGGCCAATTTGCAATAGGGCAATAGCTATTTAATATTTTTCTGTCATTATGCAATAGTTGTCATTGGGAAAAAGCACAAGAATATATATATATATATATGTATATATATTAAAAAAATAGAGGAAAAAATTGCATGAAGATCTTGTAGAATAGGAGCTCCATTAATAGAGAGCAGGGTAGAATATTCACAGGCTAATTCCCACTTTCATGTCATATGAGCAACCCTGCTACACAAAAACAACTATTAGCTAGATTAATTTAAGTTATACATATTTTTCTCCTTTTAATTTATTCTGGTTATTATTTATAAAATCTGGGATTTTTGTATGGAAATAAAGTTAAATGTTGTTCTCATTGTAGCTTAACCATTGAAGGTGGGTGCTGAAATAATTCCACCTCTTATTATATAATAATTTTAATATTTTACCATGCAATAACCAAAATAGTGGAAGGGTCACTAGTAGATCTCTTGAATTTCCAAAATGGGTGTCACATGTTTATGCTCATTATAAGCAACAAAAGGCTAATTACTAAGAGCTTGTTCAGTTGTATTTTTAGATCTTAAGTTGAATTTGAGTTGAAGTTGTAACTTGAGTTTGTGTTTGGATGTGTACATTTGAGTTATGATTTGAATTGAGAATCTATTTGAGTTTGTGTTTGAGTGGATCAAAACTTGAACTTGTATTTAAATAGTATTTTAATAAAAACTCAATAGTGATGAAAAATTTTAATAGGGTATATGGATGGAGTTTTATTCGTCTCTTCATTGTGAACGCATAGAAAAAAATCATCTTAATCGGAATTAAAACGAAAAAATTATGACGTTTTTAAGAATAGAAAAAATATTGTTCATTAACTTGAGTTTGAGTTTAAGAACTTGAGTTGAATGAGAAACTAAACTCTGATTTTAGTCCCAAACTTAAATTAAAACTCAAGTTTAAACTCAAATTTTACAAACGAGCATAAACTTAAATAAAATTATAACTTGAGTTTAAACTTTTTTTGAGTTTTACTTCAAAAAAAAAATAAGCCTTAAAATGTTTCCTGAATTTTCTCCTTTTGAAGATCACATTGCATAAAACTGTACTCAAACATTGAAAAGATAGACAAGACCATCTGCATAGAGAGAATACAGGAGTATCACTTTTTAAAGTAACCCCTTTTGGAAGTCAACATGAATGGTTCATATTAGGCTTTTAAGTAATTTCCTCCTTATTTTCTTTTATTATCTAGACCTTGTTCGGGAAAGAGAGAAACAATCTATTCCCAGAATCATGTTCTTCCCGCCTTGAGTTTTAGTGCATAGGTATTCTATATTTACAACCAATAGAAGTTGAAAACATAATAATAGCAATGATAATGGGGGAGTAATGTTAGCAAATCTTTGGTTAATATTTTATTGAGGAAATCTTTGGTTAATATTTAAGTAATACCTTTGTTGTGTACTCTTTTTTTTTTTTTTTTTTTATCGATTCTTCTACTTACTACTTTCTTGAACACAGAAAATGTCTTTACAACCTCTTCATGATCATGCATATTTGGATGCTTGCGTGAGGTTTACTTCCTCTCCCTTGACTGTTCCAATGTTTTTGCTTATGGTATAGTGAAGATTTTCTCACCATTAAGCTTTATCTTAAATGACTTATCAAGAAAGAAAGAAAAAAGAAAAAAGCTTCATCTTAAAATGAGATATCAAGAGTTGCTGTCATCCGCAAAAAGGCACTAACACCATTGGCTTTTCTTGAAAACAATAATAAGAAAAGTTTGATCTCCCATACACTAGTAGGAAAAAAAAATTTATATATATATATATATATGTGGATTATAGTGCAAGCAGAGGGGAAATTTCTCATGCAATATGAGTAAATTTTAGTTGATTAAATATTAGGTCTTCATACTTTGATTGAGAGAAGCACTTGGGTAGGTACTTATTTCTCCTAAGAACAAAAAAGATGAGTCTCAGAGATAATATCATCAACCCTTACGAGTGTTTAGTGACCATATTTGTTGTAGATTTAATGTTCATAGGTACTGATGTGACTCTTTCTAATTACCTTGTCGTGTTAATATTTTTCGAGTAGAAATGTTACGACTGTTTAGTCTCAATCATTTCATAGCTTTAAATAGACGTGATTAGACCATCACAATACTCCCAACTCCAAACATCTTAAGCCGCATTTGTTTTATAGGTTTGAACTACTGTTCAAATTTTTTTATTACAGCATTTTTCTGAAAAAAATTTAAATTTCTGTGCAAATCATGAACGAAACTGGCCATAGTTTACCAAGAATAATGGTAAAGGTTCTTCTATCTCACATTTGCATTGTATCCGTAACGTATACACAAATGTATCTATCATTTGAATTTCTCTGAAATTTGCATCAGGCACTATGAGAAACCAAAATTTGGATGAGAAAAGAAGAAAGAAAGAAAGAGGAATCCTAAAAAGGAATCCAGAGCAAAAAATTTTTTTTTTTTTTTTTTTTTTTTTTTTTGAGTCTAATTATTGCCTTAATTATATTGAGGCCGCACGTTTTGGATATTACATTAGAGAGAAACATTAGTGAGTTCAAAAGGCGAGATATGCAAGTTTTATTGTAATCCTTTCTTTCATTATAATAAAATTCTGCAATGGGCTGAAAGTGAATGTTATTTTTTTTTTTTATAAAAAAAAAACATTGAATGTTATTTTTCATTATTATGATTTATGCATGCTTCTTTGTCTTTTCTTTTATAATATCGCTCTCATTAGTAAAGAATTAAGGCACTTCATTGTAACATTATCATGACGTTTAAAGCAGAAAAGAGAAAGCAAAACGAAATACCTACAATTTGAGTCTATAATTTAGAAAAACAGCGAATCAATCATTAGGACTAAATTATAGGAACATAATGTATAAAATTAAAAGTACTTTTTTGATTAAACGGTTATTGGCACCATAATGGAAAAAAGTGTTCGCACTTAGCAATATTGATCAATAAAAAATTACCAAACCAAGAATGAAATAACGCCATTAAATTTGACTCCAATAGATTACAAGTAAGAGAAATATTCCCAAAATTTGATTAGTGACGACTTACTTTTAGTTTCAAGTTTCAACTAGTTAAACTCTTCTATTGTACTTGTTGTCCCTATCAACCGCGAAAATTCACATTTCATTAGACACTTTAACCTTTGGAACCTGGGATAGGGTCAAATTGAACAACTTTTTTAGTGTAATTGCTGTTGTATGAGGTAATCATTTTCTTGGATAATAAAGACTTTCTCCCAAGTATTGCCTAATATTATTATTTATTTTTATAGAACGTTTCAATCTCAATTCTCAAATAATCACTAAATTGGCACGTCATGTACTTATCTGTAATGCAATAAGGAGAAATATATTTTATTTTCAAAATTTTCACCTCTATAATTAGTGGCCAACGTTGCCCCTAGACTTAAAATATGGGGGAAAAAAAGTTTTATGCTAATCTGAATCCCAAAAACGTTCCAACACTGATCAAACAAATATATGGGGTAAATAAAATAAAATAAAAAAGTAACCTTCTCTAATACTAAATAATTACATGGAAAAAAAAATGGCTCTTAAAGAGTCTTTACATTACAATATTATTTGTTTCACGCTAATGGAGATTTTTTTTATTAAAGGGTATGCGTGAGAGATGGGAGTGGAGAAACTATTGTGACAAGGAATTCCATTAACATAATCATATTTAAAATGAAAGTGGAAATCACACAAAGTGCTTTTAGAAAAACCCCAAAATTTTTTTTTTTTTTTTTTTTTTTTTTTTTTTTTTTTTTGGGTTTCAATTTACTTTATAGTTGGAGGAGGATTGACAGGTGTCAAAGAAAGGGAGTCCACTGAAAACCACTTTGTTTTATGGGAGGAGATATGCCGCAATTACTGAATCACAAACCTGGCCCTTCGGCCACCAGAGCAGTGCATACGAGTATTAGACTTCTATTTAAAGCATGATGGAAAAGGAAAAATAATTAAAGGTGGATGTGCTGGGGTCAACAAATGGCCTGTAATCAAATTACAGCTGTTTCACAAGCATTATAGTTTCATACATTTCTCTAGTTCAACTCATCCATGAGAGACAGAGAGAGAGAGAGAGAGGCAAATATATGCATAACCATAGTATTTGGAAGAACAATCAACAAGGGATCAAACTTTCTTTCTTGTCTAGATTTCTAAATCATCAATCAACATATTTGTTACTCGAGAATTCTGTGATAGGATACAAAAAAATTAAAAAAAAACACTACCAGTAATGATTGACGTATAATTCTAAATCATTAAGTCTTTATTCAGTTTTTATTAAATTTGTCAACCTTACTCGTTTTGTATAATTTTGATATGATTTGATAGTCCAGAGTATATCAACAAGTTACCTTGCCACAGATTTATTTAATATAATAATATGTACGATGTGGCACGCGTCAAAAAATAAGACGATATAAGATTTATAGACATAGCATAGGCGGCATGCATCTAAAAAGTCTTTGCCAATAGAGGACTGGTAGGGCTAAAGCCAGTGAGGTGGGGAATACACGGACCAAAAGTGCCTAAAATGGTGCAACGGCCGAAAGCAAAAGATTGTGTTTTGATCCTAATCTAAACTTTTTTTTTTTTTTTTTTGAGTCAACACTAACACTTCTTGAAAAGAAAAATGGACATGTTCAGCTCTGCTGTCTCAAACAAAATGAATTTTGGTGGGGAATATGGATGGGACTGCTTCCTCCTGTTGTTAGTAGGAGATGATGGGGTGGGAGGCCCTGTCATTGTCTCTATCCATATGTCTAAAATAGTTTGCAAATATTGATAAGCTTAAGAGCCTGCTTCCTCTTTTGGGTTCCATTGGCAAAACTCTTAACACCAACCCCAAAAGATCAACTGTTAGCTTGGTAAGAAGTGAATATTATTGGCTCACCACTCCCTTGACCTCTAGTTTAAGGATCATGAAACAAGAATTCTTGAATCCTAGAAACAAATGTCGTCTTGTACGCAAGTATGCGTTGCTAGGACTGATCCCATAGCGGGATTAGAGTCATAGACGTCGTTCTAAAGCTTCAAAGCAATTGATCCGTCCTTGAGTGTTCATTGGTCATCTTATGTAATTTTAAGAAGATAAAATGTTCTATTAGGGGAGTTTCTCTGGTAGGACTAAAAAAAATAAACTACCGATAATTCTTTATTTCCGGCCATCATATTTATATTAAAAACTGTATATTCTGCATACTTTTTAAACTTGATGTGATTTTAACTAGATGTAAAGTCAAAAACTGACTATGCTACAAAGATACCAAGCTTGAGGTATTGTGCTACATTGGGCTCCACCATTTTGCAATCTCTCCATCTTGGTCTAGTCAGCAACCTAGCTTGGAGTTAAAAGTTTAAAGTTAACTTAGATAAGTGTTTAGAGAATAGGTCCATCCAAGTTAGATACTACTTTTGAAGTACTGCAAAATCGACCTAAACCATCACACTGAGAATTGAGACAAATGATATATCTCAAAAGGTAGCTCCAACATGAGCACTAAAGACTAATTTAACAAACTTGGGGTTGCTGCACTAAAGTCCATTTGACAATTTAGGTTTACTTTTATAATGGTCAATTGGCCTTTTTTTTTTTTTTTTTTTCAAATTAAAAGAATTCTCCTACTGTAACTACGCATGATCATCTGACCTAAACATATATCCGGTTATACCACATTTCATGAAAAGTTAGAGAGAGAGAGAGAGGTATGCAACTTTTTCCAGGAACAAGCTGAATTGTCCGCACCACTTTATTTACAATTTTTTTTTTTCCTTTTCTTGATAATGAAATGATAAAAAAAAGAACCATAGGCCTCATTACCTCAACCCCCAGTATCAGGATTTAAAAAGATTGGTCCAGACCATGAAAGTATGTACTTGGAACAAAACTTATTAATCAATTCAGCAGCATGATTTCAAAAAATTTTTACTGCCAAGTTCCAAAGATACAAATGGCAAGAAAAGAATTTAATTTAGCAAACATGACCTCCAAAATGTACACGGAGAATTTTCCGAATATGATCAACCCTAATACATCTACCTCATTTGATGGTAACGTTTCCGCTACAACATGACATCCAAGATGCACAGGGAGAATTTTTGGAATATGATCAGGGATTTCATGAGAAAGTAACTTGAAACGACTGCTGAGTGTATAGGATGGGGAAAGTTCAATCTACGCAGCAACTGCAACCTTTTCTTGCTTCTTACCAGGTGTCTTTGGAGGCTTTTGCTTCTCTACTGGTTCTGGTTTCTCGATTCCTTGAATATCAGTTATCCTTAACTTAGTCAATTCCTGAAAAAGAGACGGTGGATCAAGAGATGTTCATTAATGTACTTGAGTCAACCGCACAAATTGGTTTTTGATGTACCTGGCGATGTCCTTTGGTTCGACGATAATTCTTTCTCCTCTTTTTCTTGAAAATAAGTACTTTAGCATCCAATGCCTGAGAGGAAAGAGAGAAAAAAAAATGATATAAAAACAAAGACGATTGGCTTTTACAGTATTATAAATTCCAAAACAAGAGAGAAGCGAAATGCAGGTTTTCCTCAAAGACATATCATGAACTCATAACTAGTTTTTTTTTTTTTTTTTTCTCTCCTCTTTTTTTGGGTTTGACAAGATATAACTCCCAGCTCTTATACTCAAAGACATAACTCTTATCTCGTACCAACTTACCTGCCAATAGTTTCAAATTTGTGAACTGCCACTATCAACAACAGTAAGAAAGAGTTCTTAAAGATCTAAGCTTTTTAAACACACAAAATGCATATCAAATGAAACTTATTGGAGAAGATTATTAGCACTTTATTTCATTGCAAATTGCCCCATGTAGGTTGAATTAGAAATTATTAACATTCATTCACAATTTCACATTGTAAAACAAGTCAATTCCTCGTCATATGGTTATATACAGGCTATAGATTTGCAAAATTATAGACATTTGCTCTAACAGAGCAGATGTCTCATACAATACCTGGCAAGTCAGATTCACTTTTGAGATGAAATCATATTGTTTCTTAGCAGAATTTTAAAGTTTCTTTCTGTTTCAATTTGGTAAGGGCGCCAAGAAGAATGAAGTCGTTTACAGAAACTATAGACAGAATAACAAAGAAAAGAAAAAAGGGATCACACTTACATGCTCTTCAACAACTGCATGAACGGCTGCATCTGGCACTATAGGCCTACCAACTATTGTCTGACTACGCGAGCCCAACAAGAGAACCTTGTTCAAAAGGAGCTGCAACAGAATGAAGCAACAAAAATCATCTAAAGGGAGTTCTTCAAAATAATTTGTTTCTCAGGGAAAATCATAAAAGATCACAACCATAGATCTTTATGTAAAATCATGTTATCATAATGGGAAAACTTTGAAGAGATCATAAATTGCAGAGAGGAGTAACCGCTTGTTTCCTGAAGTCATGACAAAAATACTTTAGAATGCGGAAAAGATACAATCTACCTAAACTGAACCAAGAGCCAGATATAGAAATCGTGATAAATCTCTAGATAACTAGCATAGCCATATTCGCAACCATATAATTCCACCTTTTCTCATCTCAACCAGACAAATCTCGTATTCCAAGTCCAAAGGATACGGGGTCAAGCCCGATTACATGGTCCTACCTTTTAAAACAAGTCATAAACCATATCAACCCAAATCCCATTTATCTTTCTAACACAGTAGCAGAACTGAGACTATTGAACCTTCAAAAGAGAAAACATTCTAGCCTTCCACACATTCCCATATTGGCGTTCAATTTCACTCCAAATCCTTTAACTCTTTCAATCAATGTACAAAAAGTATACGAAACACTCCACACCTTACCATTGCTAATATCTTGGAAGTTGAAACACAAATTCCTTCGACCAAAGGCATTGAAATGAAATAAAGAAATGCTAAACGTTATCTCTACAAGAAGAATACTGAGTATTATAACATCATAAGAGCAACAATCTAAAACATTAAAAAATAAACATGAATTCACAATTGCATACGAACCAAAGATATCAATAGAAATTTTGCTGTACATACAATATTTCTTTTCGAAATCGAGCATAACATACCTTGTCGTTCACCTCACAGAACTTCAATTTCTCAGTGAAAATGCAGTCCCCATTGCTGGCCTTAAACTGATGCGAACCAATCTACAAAAACCACCGAAAAAAAAAATCAAACCTTTCACCAATAAACAAAACAAAATGAAGTTCTTTGTTTAATTTATCGGGGGTTTTTTCTCGGGTAAAAAAGTGAACCTGATGATTGACATTCATCAAAATCAAACAAAAGAGAGCAGATTAGAAACCTGAACAACGGCGAAAACAGGTTCATACGGCTTGAAAACATTATCGGACTTCTCGAGTGGGCCGATCACTTTATATCCGATGGCGGCAGCCTCCGCCGCCTTCTCTTCCGGAGAATACTCTCTTCTCGAGCCGGATATCGACACCGAAACATTCTCGACATCCTCGTCCTCGCTAAACTCCGCAACTTCCTCTTCGTCGTCGTCGTCGTCGTCGTCGTCTTCTTCACCATCTTCCGTATCCCCGTCGTCTTCGCCTCTGTTCGAGGAGAAATGGCGCGCCGGCGACCTGTGCTCGTGGCGGCCGGATCCTGGATTGGCAGAAAGGGGGGCGAATTTGGCGGTGAGAGTTCCGAGGTCTCGTTGGTTGGGACGAGGAAGTGGCGTGGCGAGGAAGCGAACGGAAGCGTGGTCTCTGTAGAGCAGAGCTGAGGCCTGGCGGATCAGAGAGTGGAGGCAGCGTCTGGTCGCCATTGGAGCGCGTGACTCTCACCTTCGAGTCCGAATTTTAAGGAGTAATGAGCTCTTGGCTCTTGCTCTTCGGGTGATCTAGGGTTTTAGCAGCTGATGCAATTGCAGAGGGACAGGGTTTTTGCCATTTTTTTCCTTTTTGAAAAAAAATATTTTATTATTATTGCCGTATATTCCCCATTTTAACGATTATTTTTATTTGTGGTTTTCGTTATTCTACTTTCTTTCGGTGAATTGATTCCGTTTTTATTTTTTATGTTTTTTGAGAAAGTAAAAATAAAAATATTTTTAAAATAATGTTTAGCGCAATAAAAATAAAAAATAAAAATAAAATGATTTTTTGATTTAATGTAAAATAAAAGAGAAATGAAAAATGATTTTTAATTATTTTTTATTTTTTATTTTTGTTTTCTCATCTCTCAAGCAGAGAGATAAATAGTCTATTAATGAGTTTTTTACACTAAAAATAAGATAAAACTACCAAATGTATTTTTAAAAATAATTTCTGTCTGAGATTGAAAACGTTTTTATTTTCATTTTCATACAAAAAATAAAATTATTTTAGAACGACTTTCAAACGCACCCTAAAAGTCATTTTTTATTTCTCTCTCATTTTATACTAAATCAAAAAATTATTTTCATTTCTATCTCATTTTACACTAAATTAAAAAATTATTTTCATTTTTATTTTTTATCTTTATTGCGCCAAACACCGTTTTAAAAATATTTTTATTTTTCTTTCTCCAAAAACGTAAAAAATAAAAACAAAATCAATTTCAAACACATATATTAATTTTAATTCTACATTTTAAATTTTAGAAGAGAATTTATTAACAATAACTTTTTAAATTCAAATTTTTTTAAGAGAAAATAATATAACAAAATCAAAATTAAAAATTTGAGCATGGTTGCTTTTCCCAAACGGTAATGAGGGTGCACGTAGTCTTCCTCATACCGAATTATAGCCTAAACACAAACCATTATCTTTTATCAAAATACAATTTCTCACCTCATATTTAAATAAGGATAAATAACCTTTATTTTATAAATTTCTAAAAGACGATTCTTACAATTTGTTTTCAAATTATTCTTACACTTTTTTTTTGCTTTCTTAAGAAATAAGGGGAAATTTTCTTTTGATATCTTATGCTATATCAAAATATATGTTTAGTACTTTATGTTTTTGATAATTTTTTATAGGTATCTCAACATTTTAAAAAATAATTTTTTTATACTCTAAGACAGTTTTTTGAGATGTACAATGCTAAATTTACCCTTATCATTAATTAATTAGAGACTATAATTTGTTTACACATATTTTAAAAAATGCTTTAAATACATTAAAAATTGATAGTTTTTTATTTTTTATTTTATGGTTTTTTAAAATATTTTTAATATGTTTTTTTATAAAAAAAAAATATGAATGAATAACATTTCACGTACCAAAAAATTACCCCAAAGTATCAAAAAGCTATTTTCTAAAATATCGAGATATCTACATGAAATTATCAAAAACACAAGATACTTAATGTATATTTCGGTATAACACAGAGTGCTAAAATGAAATTTTCTCTATAAATAATTATTCTTTTTTTGAGATTTTTTTAATAAATAGAGTTGAGAATAATGTTTTCCTACCACTTGTGACTATAATTTTTACTTTAATAATCAATCAAAATTCCCTTTTATTCTTAAATATATTTAGTTATTCTAATGTCTATTATTGTAATAATTTACTTGTAAAACAAATTAAAATAATCACAAAATTAAACTTTTTATTGTCAATCATAACACAAAATTTGACATATATAAAGACTGATTTGTAAATCTAAAATCAAATCAATAAAACAAAATTCACTAAAATTTCCCTAAAAACTTAAACTTTCAATAAAACACAATTATACATCCAACAATATGCATACAAATTTCCAAAACACAACTTAATTCAAAAGAAAAAAAAAAAACCGATGTCACAATAGATAATTTTAACATAAAAAACTCAAGCCAACGAGTCACCCATGACGGGGGCATTGAGAACCATTAATTTATAGCAGTTATAATCGTCAGTTGGTGGTGAGACCCTCTTGAGAACCATAGTTCACAGTCGGTGGGTCGCAAGTCGCCATCTCCAATGGATGGAGAGGGTCGACGAAGGATGCAGGGGAGGACTAAGCTTCCGATGAGAGTGAGGGCGTAAAAGCAAGGAGCGTGGAGAAAGATACGCATGGCGCAAAATCCGACGGGAATGATAGCGGCCACAGGGTGTTAAGTTGTAGAGACGAGGGTGTGGTGGTGGATTTCGATGGAAGGTTGGGCGAAGGGCACCTACGATGAGGGTGGAGATGGGTGAGCTATAGTGGAAGGCTGGCAGCTACTAATGGAACTGCTCAAAGATTTTAGACATTTGGTTTATCTAATGTTAGGGTTTTTTAGTGGTTAAGGGTTAAGATCTAAAAATAATTAAATTTATGTTAGAGATTTAATTAGGCATAAACTAATGTTTTATGAAATACTGGGGCAGTTTTATAATTATGCAACTTGAAAATGAAGAGTGCAATCATGTGTTTGTTTTTACTTTACTTTCTATGAGCACCATCATCTCGAACTGTTACTTTCTAATATGATGATCCACATTTCATACCCTATCAATATGAAAAATTAAGCCCCTTACTATAGACATTCTCTTTCTCTCTCTCTTTTTTGGTTGAACTTTATAGTAAAATTTACCGCGTAGTGTGAGTTTATCACAGAGTTTTTTTATTTTTTTCAAAAATTTTTCATGAGGTTTTGTAAATTAATATATTCATATTTTATATATAATATATGGTAAAAAAAATATCTTAAAAAGTTAGAAACAACATGCCATCATTCCTTTGAAAATTTGCTGTCGTTTGAGATGAAAAAGACATCCGGTTTGTCGTTTATGTTTCAAAACGACGTGTATGTACTTTTTCGTCTGAAATCTTGTTGACGTTCATGTAAACATGTCCTTTCCCTGTGCTAGTATTTATATATTATTTTGTTTTATTTTGTTTTCCTTCAAAATTCAAATGGATCGAAAATATACTTATCCTTTTCTTTTAAATATGTACAGTCATCATAAACTATATATAAATATTTTTTTTTTGAAAACGTCATAATAAAATATTTGAAGCCAAAGAGAAGTGCAATGTTGTCTTATAAATAATGGGTAAATATTTTGGTGCATAAAAGGTGTTAACATTAGTTTAAAAGAAAGAATATCAACCTTTAAATATGGTTGAAAAAGTGGCTTGTTGTTAGGTGTGTTTATTTGAGAAAATCAAAATGACACTTGACAAAAGAATAAAATAACATCGAAAAAAAGTATGTAATAGAATATTTAATTAACACTCCTCAAAATGTTATCAATAAATTAATAATATTTTATTTCTGCTACAACAGTGGTAATAGAATGGGAAAAAATAAGGGTTAAATTTAAAATTTATACAATTTGGAATCTTGGATGGAGGTGGCTGAATTACATATGGGCTTGGATTGACTGGACAATGCATTTGGGCCTTTTGCACCCATTGGGCCCCTCTCCCTCTGACACCCGACCCGAAAAACCCAAACACGTCGTTGTCTCCACGAAATTCAAAGTTTATTATTTTTTCCTCCCCCAAGTCTGCCATTTCCTTCGAAAGAAAGCAATCCGGAAAAACAAACGCACGCCGATCTCGCCGTCTAAAGCCATGGCCGGCCGATTTGGCTTCTCATCGTCTTCTCAGGCGACCATGAAGGTGACTTCGACCCCATCCACCGATCTCGCTCTCACCAACCTCGCTTACGTTTCGTCCTCCGATCTTACCAACTTCGCCGTTCCTGGCTCCAAGCTTTTCCTTGCTCTGATCGGCAATTCATTCGTTCTCTCTCTTGGATATCCTTCTCAAATTCTTCGAATTTTCTTTTCACCGCATCAAATTATCGCATTTTCTGTTATGTAAATCTAGTTTTTGGTCGTAATCTAGCTGAATTTTGATTCAATTATCATGCTTTTTCGTTCTGAAATTTGATACAGTGCGTTTGGATTTCTGCTTTTGCGTCAAACGAAACTTAGATCGTTTTTTTCGTCATCTTTTGATAAGATTTTACGGTTTTTTTGTTTGTTTGTTTATTGAGTTTCTCTTAACTAAGAAGATACTGCCCATCCAAGCATAAGCAGCGGAGAAATTGCCCTAAACGCAATCCAGCGTCGGCACGCTAAGGTTTCTACTGGTGATTTGGTATCTGTGTCGAGGTTATTCTCAAATCAGTGCTTACATTTCGATCTTGATTTTCGAGATTTGGGAGACGATTTTGTGTTTGTTTTATTTTTACTAAATCAGGGTTTGGTGATTGATTTAGGTTTATTCCGCCTGACAATTTTAACGTGGCGTTGCTCACGCTGGAGTTAGAGTTTGTGAAAAAGGGGACCAAAAATGAAGAGGTACGTGGGACTCGCATTTTCTCTTGATTATTAATCAGTAAGATCTTCATAGGTGATTGGTGGTGATTTTCTGGCTAAGTGTTTGATTATTTATTTGTGTAGGTTGATGCTGTTCTCCTGGCCAATCAGCTTAGAAAGAGATTTGTCAACCAGGTAAAGCTTCGTTTCATAGATTAATGTTATCCATGTTTTGATTTTTTCTTTTGCTTTTAAAAGAAGAAGTTACGCATGTTTTGTGTTATTCGCACGGTTTAATGCGCAGAGCAAGTTATTCAGAATAAGGGTATTGTTAGTTGGCAAACTATTACTATATCATGATAAAAGCAGAGGATCACGCACTGTCATAGATGTTCTTCGAATTTTTATTTTCATTTGATCGATGCAATAGGCTTCAATCATCTTCTCATTGGTTTGTGACACTCCTTTATCTTTTTAACTTTCTGGGATTGATATCTTTTGAAATGTGTTGATCATGGCTGTTGGTATTGTCTAGGTTATGACGGAAGGACAAAGAGTATCATTTGAGTATCATGGTAATAATTATATTTTCACGGTCAGTCACGCTGCTGTGGAGGGACAAGAAAAGTCTAGTGCTCCTGAAAGAGGGATGATATCCAGTGATACATACATTGTTTTTGAAACCTCCAATGCAAGTGGAATAAAGGTATTTTCTTTCTATTTGTATCCGTACTTCTTTTAAAATTGTCGATCGTGGTTGCCGCTACATTGATGTAGGTTTGCGATATATCAAATGTTTTTAACTTTATCTGTAACGGAACTCCAAAGTAACCTCAGTTAGATTGATTGTCAAACTCTTGCAGTCTTACTGCTACGTGTTTTGTTAAAAATTAAAAAAGGTTATTTTTAAAGGTGTAGTGTAGAACCTGCTTCTAGTTATTAAAAATATATGCATACTATATGTGAGGTCATGTATTTATAACATTTGAGCTTATGTTGCTTCGCACAGATTTTCAATCAACGTGAAGCTGCCAGTAGTAACATCTTCAGGCAGAAGGAGTTTAATCTTCAGTCACTAGGTATTGGTGGCTTAAGTGCAGAGTTTGCGGATATATTTCGAAGAGCATTTGCTTCTCGTGTTTTCCCTCCACATGTGACAAATAAGTAATATGTTCTTTTGCCTTCAGATTAGTAGAACCACCGGTCTTTTATTTTTTGTTTTTGTAGAATGTGCTTTTAATTTGAAATGTTTTTATGTTTCAGATTGGGGATAAAGCACGTGAAGGGCATGCTGCTGTTTGGACCGCCTGGTACTGGAAAAACTCTTATGGCTCGTCAAATTGGAAAATTGTTGAATGGAAGGGAACCGAAGGTTTGGAAATAGCTAAATTATTTTTATTTAACATTGATGGATATTGCTCGCTTTATCTTGAGAATTGAGATCTTTGTTCAATGGAAAGGAAAATTTTGGTCGAATACTCGTTTATTGAATTGAGGATAAGTTTATAGTTTAAAGTGGTTAAATATATAGGAGACTTGATGAAATTGTGAAAGTGATACTTAATAGTCATAGTTTCGGATCCTCATTTCTTGCCTGGCCGACATACTAAATTCATGGGTTTCCCACATTTCCTGTGGGCAGCACAAAAGGATTGTTGGTAAACACCTATTAGAGTTACTATTTTGTTATAACCTCTTTCTTTGGGTTCTAGCATGCTTCCCCTCTGTAAAATGTTGGGGCATTGCTTAACCACTTGCTTATATGTTTCAGTGCTATGTAAACTGTTTTTAAATTATGGCACTCTTTGGTCATTGTCTGGATGATCTCTTGAAATGCAAATTAGTAGCTACTATTTCGTTTTTACCATTCCTTTAGGTCTGAATTTAGATTTAGTGTTTTAATGATGAATTTCCTCTCATCAGATTGTTAATGGACCTGAAGTATTGAGCAAATTTGTTGGTGAAACGGAAAAAAATGTGAGGGATCTGTTTGCTGATGCTGAGAATGATCAGAGAACTCGCGGTACGATACACACGCTCAAATGTGATAAATTGATCTTTCGGTATTGTCTGATGTTGTAATGTCCTCGATTTTTTCAGGGGACCAAAGTGACTTGCATGTCATAATCTTTGATGAGATTGATGCTATTTGTAAGGTATGTGATTTCACGGATCTGTATTAGGTCTCTGTCTCTGTCTTGCGGATTTTCTACCAGCCTCTATATCACTATTTTTCCATTTTCTCTTATGTATGTGATGCTATTATAGGTTTTTGATATTCTCTTAGGCCATATTACTTGAAAGTTTATAATCGCTCAGTGCTCTCACTTTTTTGTTACTTGGCCATTAGTGATGGTGACTTGCTTTTAATTTGTATATACAGTCGAGAGGATCAACTAGAGATGGTACTGGAGTTCATGACAGTATTGTAAACCAGCTACTTACAAAGGTATGGGAATGGTTTCAACGGTTAGGTCTTGAAGTGATAAGAAATTCTTCTTCCGCCATAATACTTATCTTTTATTGATACTTCCTTGAATAAATGTCATCTATTTGACTGAGAGAGTTGCTTGCTTCCAGATTGATGGTGTAGAGTCTCTGAATAATGTTTTGCTCATTGGAATGACCAACAGAAAGGATCTACTTGATGAAGCTCTTTTGAGGTGCTTTCTTTTTTCTTAAAGAACGAGTAATTATTTATTCTCAACAGTGACACTTTTTGTTATAATTGGATAAATTGCCAATGCTATTTGAATTCGTTGCTTATGAGAAACATCTGGTGATATCCCCATATTTCTTGTATGTTGTTCTTATAAAAGATACACAAATCCTAATAGCCATGGCATTCTGAATTATGTCAGATTCTTGCTATTTTCTTTTAATTGCAACAACATGATATACGAGAAAAATTCTGGTGACAAACTTTTGAAAGTTTTCCCTAGAAAACATCTTCCAATTTTTCTTCATCCTGATCTGCAGACCAGGACGGTTGGAGGTTCAAGTTGAGATAAACCTTCCTGATGAGAATGGTCGTCTACAGATTCTTCAAATTCATACAAACAAAATGAAAGAGAACTCCTTTCTTGCTCCTGATGTGAACCTTCAAGAGCTTGGTACATGTTTTCATTATGTATACTTGTTAGATTTACGTATTCAATCTTTATTTTATTAAGAATAAAAAAAAGTGTGCAAAAAGAATGTTGAAAGATGGAAATACCATGTCCTATAATCAATGTTAATGGCCTTCATCGTTCCTTGAATTTACCTTTGCTGATAGATCTTTTTTTTTTTTTTTTTTTAATGTTTAAAATTGTTCCTTTGTGAGACCTCTTTTCACTGTTGATGATTTGAACTTGATCATGTGTGTTGTGGAGGCTTGTACTTCCTTTCGTCTTATTTTATTTTATTTTTTTGGTGCAGCTGCTCGTACAAAGAATTATAGTGGTGCAGAACTTGAAGGTGTTGTGAAAAGTGCAGTATCATTTGCTTTGAATAGGCAACTGAGTATGGATGATCTTACCAAGCCGGTGGATGAAGAAAGTATTAAAGTGACTATGGATGACTTTTTGACTGCACTTCATGACATTGTACCTGCATTTGGAGCATCTACAGATAACCTTAGACGATGCAGGTGTTGGTTTTTTATATTACCTAGGATCTAGGATACATCCCGTTTGAATATTGATGTCCATATAGGTCTTTTATTTTCGTGGTTAAACTTTATCATTTATCTTGAGGAGCTTCTTAGGATAAATGCCCCCTTCGAAATGGTGATCTATATTCTTTCTGGTTAGTTTAGCAAATTGTGTGTAACGACTTCTTTTCCGCTGAAAATATAGCTCAATTGTTCCTTGTAACGTTGTCTGTAGGCTTAATGGTATGGCTGATTGTGGTGACCGACATAAGCACATATATCAAAGAGCCATGCTACTTGTAGAGCAAGTTAAAGTGAGCAAAGGAAGCCCGCTTGTCACCTGCCTTTTGGAAGGACCTAGTGGCAGGTACACCTGGTTTCCATTTTTTAAAATTGTTTTTATTAATTGGGAAAACTCTGAACCTTAATGGCCTTGGACAGTGGTAAAACTGCGTTATCAGCTACCGTTGGCATTGACAGTGACTTTCCTTATGTCAAGATTGTAAGCTCCTTTCAATTTCCTTTGTTTTTGGGGTTTTTTTTTTTTTCCTTTCCTTTTAATAAATTTCATATTTTAATAAGTTTATTTTCATTTTCTTGATTGTATAGGTCTCAGCTGAATCAATGATTGGTCTTCATGAGAGTACGAAATGTGCACAAATTGTCAAGGTCTGTGAACGCTTCGGTTATGAGCCACTTGAACGTTTTGAAGAAATTCTACTATTTTGACGAGTTTTTTATTTTTATTTTTATACTCTCCATGTGCGAGACACCTTTGTTTACATCAAACAGTTTTGATATATTATGAACTATTTTCTAGAAGTTTGAGTGTTAGTTTGGTTTTTAAACCTTGTATATTTTGCCGTCTGAGAGACATTCCTTGGCTTTTGTATTTGATTTTTGTTTCTAAACCTTTATTGTTTAAAGGTTTTTGAAGATGCATACAAGTCACCATTGAGCATAATCATCCTTGATGATATTGAGAGGTAACTACAGCTCATTTACTGTTGATGAACGCTATCACTTTGATCCTAGTCTTCCTTTTGCATTTTCATTTAACCAAGTATTTATTCAATTTTTGTTGCAGGCTGCTTGAGTATGTTGCTATTGGACCTCGCTTCTCAAATATTATATCTCAAACACTTTTGGTCCTCCTAAAGCGGCTTCCCCCAGATGTAGGTTTCTTATTTTCCTTGTCTTGACTCTTGGGTAGTTAAATTAGTTCTATATACTGTCTTTTATATTTTATAATCTTTATTTTTCTGTGGTTAGGAATAACTTTGAATCAGTTTCCTGTTTGTATTTAACATCGGAATATTGAGAGTAATGGTTGTAACAACATTTCTCTGTTTATGATTGTTTATTCCCCGGATGTCCAGTTACTAACCAAACTGTATCCTTAACTGTCTGATTACCTGCTTTATTCATTTAAAATGGAGTAATATTTTGAACACCGCTTTTTTATTTTTTTTATTTTATTATTTTTCCTCCTTGACGAACTGACCTCCTGTGCAACTTGATTTTCAGGGGAAAAAGCTTATGGTGATTGGGACCACAAGTGAAGTAAGCTTTTTAGATTCAGTTGGTCTTTGTGATGCTTTTGCTGTTACTTATCATGTACCAACATTGAAGACTAGTGATGCGAAGAAGGTAATTAACATTTTGCCATTTTGTTTCTTTGATAACTATATTTTGAGACTCCTGTTGGTCATCAATATGCGAATCTATGTGGCTTTTAAACCTTAGGCTGTTGAAATAGATCAACCATTTAGGATTATATTGTAAATTGGAATTTGTTAAACTTAAAAATTAATTCAAAAAAACTTAAAAGTTAATTTCAAATTTTTTAAGAGCTGGAGATTTTGAATGATGGAACGAATTTTGCCTAAGTGGAGAGAATTCAATCATATGAAAAATGTGCTCTTTTTCATAATCCCATATGACCAAACCAAAAAATGGCAACCTTTTTTGTTCATTTTTTCTTGTTTCTGAACAATATCCTTTTTAGTTCTCCCCATTTTCCAAATCTTGCTGAGTGGTTAGTTCGTATGTAGATGCAAGCTCACTCTGCTGACTTCATGACTTTATGTGTCGGATCTCTGCATTTTCCTTTCTTATACCAGGTGCTACAACAATTGAATGTCTTTGCTGATTACGACATTGATGCAGCTGCCGAGGCACTAAATGATGTAAGTTACTTTTGCTTTTTTGTTTGGTTACATTTCTATATTCAAATTTCTTCATCTAGTCAATTCTAATGTCCTTTAGTAACTGTGCTGTTATGTCATGAACATGAAGAGGATTAGGAATTAGGAAAGCTAATAATCTCATGAAATGAGAAATTGCATTTTCTTTTTAGTGGTTGACAAAAGTTGCAACTAACGTTTATACATCATGCTTCCCGAACAAAGACAAGCTTTTCGGTTTATGCATCTTGTGACCTAGTTTTGGGGTTTAGCTGTTAGCAAAAATGTAGTTCCATCAGAGACTGAATCCCAGTTTTTCCGAAATTCACCTTTTTTTATTTACATATGATATTTTACTAAAGGTAGTGTCTTTTTTGTTTTTCTGGGTTGAGATTACATTAGGTAGTGTCAATTAGTAAATAATTTGTTCTCCTATATTTACTCATTTTCTGTGTAATTCCTCTTCTTAGATGCCCATCAAGAAGTTGTATATGTTGATTGAGATGGCAGCCCAAGGCGAGGCAGGTGGATCTGCTGAAGCAATCTACTCCGGTAAAGAGAAAATCAAAATTAATCACTTCTATGAGTGCATTGAGGATGTGGTCCGGTATTAGTTTCTATGGCAATTTTTTTATGAAGAGCTGAAAATGACCAAAGATCCGTATATTTCTTACTTTTGAGCCTTATGTATTTGTATGTAATATGAGCCTCCTTTTCATTTTCCCCCAATTTTTATCGAGTAATTCTCCATGCTATCCACGTTTTTATTGCTGGTGGAGCTGTTTTGTTGTTTACGATTCTTTACTTCATCGTGTATTTAGTCTGAAGCCAGAGTATTAGCGGATCGAAAAAATAGAGAATTTACCTTTTAAGAGTTTATGAGTTTAGACTTTTATTTCTTACTCTTAATAAATACTTTTTTATTAATGTAATTATTTGATTAAAAATGTTATGAATCAAGAATAAAAGATAAAAATTTTGATCCATGCACTTTTAAGAAGTATTTATCAAGATTACACCTAAGATTACACCCAAGCCTATCCCTTGTTGAGATGAGGCCTAATGTGAATTGAATTATATTTCTCATAATATAGTAATTCTTGTTAGTTTAACAGTCTCGTGCTAATTGAAACGTTGCTTAGATCTATGTAAGGACCATTGAATCAGCACCCAAATGCAAGCGTTACCCAATCAAATGTAAATATATATCTTTTTTTCCCTTATATTAACATACATACATATATATATATATATATAAATATATATATATATATTAATTTCAAGATATGGTTCAGGTATACCGACCATTCTCTTAATATCCCGTGGCTGAACTCTCAAGTAGACTCCCCAACTCTTCAGCGCTATTGCTCATCTGTCATACCATGTCAGAACTCAGCAAGGCCTTATTAAGGTCTCAGTGAGCCTTATTAAGGTCTTAACTTGAGGTTTTGGGTGCGTGAATGTGTGCATGTGACCATCAGCAGATCATTCGGAGCATTGTATAATGCTGAATGACTATGAGCATAACGACCAACCCAGTTGATGAACGAACTACCTATGTAAACAAACTGATAAACATAGAAAACAATGCATGAAACAGGCAAGACCAAAAAAATTCAGCACAAAATTGAACATTTGGGAAGCAATGCGTTTTATATTTGGATGACACAGAAGCAATTTCATAGAGCAATTGGATAACGTTCATAAGGGTCCGGCGCCACTATTTTGAAGCATAACTAGTTGAAAATTTTGGAATCATCACTCCAAGTCATTGTCAATAAGGAATTAACAGAATAATTATATAAACATTAGCAAAAAAAAAATATAAATTTATACATATATATATATATATATATATATATGTAAACGAAAGTTGCTTCAAGTCAAGTAGCAACACACAAGAGCTGTGCATCTCAAGCTTTTTGCAACTTTTATTGTGCTCAGAGGAAGTGTGTCTGTGCCATATGTCGAGTGCCCACTTCCCCCCAACGCGGCTTAATGTGGAAAATGAACACAGACAATCTTTGTCGGCTTTTTAACTCAGAAGCCATGTTGTTCAAAGAAATAATTATAAACTTCACATGTAAAACCAATCAAAAAGCTTCACCACAAACCATTCCTGAATAATTAAGAGAGGAAAAAACAAAAAAAAACAAAAAACAATGCCACTAAATTCATGTTTTAGTCCATCCTTAACCCATTCCTGTATTAGCAAGCTCCATTGTTCTTCCATGAAGCAAGCCAAGAATACATACATAGAGCTTATATATATACAAGGACTATATTCATAAACATAGCTTTGTACATTAAATTTTTCTTTTTAAGCAGCATATAAACGAACACTTAAACTAATTCCAACCCATTTTGGCATGTTAATCGAATTCCAACCCCAATTTGCACAACACCCAGAATAATCATCCAACATCCTCGAAAATAAACACCACAATCCTCAAACATTAACAGAAATTACTTAAAACAAAAAAAAAAGGGGGGGAAAAATGCAAAAAGGGGAAATTCAAGAATTAATCGTACTTTTCTCTCCAGGAATAGACAACAAAGAAGACCCAAGAGAGAGCCAAAAGAACGTCGCCGACGCTCTGCCTGATCCAATCCCAGGCAAGGTCCTCGACTCTGCGCTCGAAGTAAATCCTCCAGAGCGCCATGAAAACGTGGAGGACCGTACAGCCCTTGGCGAAGAAGTTCTGGAATTCCCTGTCCCTCACGACCGACACCATCACGAGGAGGAACCCGATCGCGATCAGGAGCAGCCCCGAGAACGAATCGGAGGTCCGAATCAGGAGCTGGTCGTGAGGTGTGGACCCCAGCAGCCGGACCGCCGTCTCGCTGCCGTGCCCGAACGCGTAGATCTCCTTCATGTAGAACATCATCAGGCCGCCGCAGCTTATGGCGATCAGACCGTGGAGAACGCAGATCACGAAGAACGCCGACGACGACGACGACGATGGTGATGCCATGATCTGGATGATGACCGTACTGGATGATTTCTCACGGATTTGGTTCCGTGCTCATAGTTGCAGAAACCCTAAACCTAATCCAAGAAGAAGAAGAGAAAAAAGAGTAGAAACGACGATGACGACGAGGAAGAGATGTAATGCTACCAAAAAAGTGCGAACGATCTCTGATTCGCAAAGTTCGGATTTTCTTTTTTTGGAGTTAATTTTCTTTTTATAACTTAAATTAAATATCGATTTTAATTAAAATAAAATAAATTGATTTCTCCTGAAAATCAATTAATAAATAATATGATGGAGGGAGAGAATCTGTTGGTAAGTGTTGTCAGTTTGAGAAGACCTTTTTTTTTGTTTTTTTGCAAATCAATCAATTTGGGAAGACTTGTGTTAGTTACTCTCGTTCACTTAAATTTTTAATTTAAATTAAGATTTAATATTTTTTAAGAGTTTTTTATTATAATAAAAAAAATTAGATGTGATATTTTTTGAAAATTTTTTAATATAAAAATTTAAAATTAAAAACTCAAATCGGTAAAATAAATAAGACCTTAAAATGCTTTAATTTCAAATAAAAAATCAAAAAAGATTTAATTAGTGTTTAGTATAAAAATTTGTGTTTTTTTTTTTACAAAATACGCATAAATTAAAAATAATTTTAAATTTATAAACCACATATCCATTTAAATCTTTATCGATTTAAATTTTTAATTTTAATTTTATTATAATTAAAAATTTTTATAAAAATCACATTTAATTTAATTTTTTTATTACATTACAAAATTACATCTAACATGAATTAAAAATTTAAATTTACAAACATAAATGAAGCCTTAATTATAAAAAAAAATCAAAAAAGATTTTGAAAAGTAGGGCCCGTGAGAGATTCAGGATAAGGATATAGGAATCTAGTGGGACCCAGCTATTGTCTAGACATGTATTGGACACTTTGTCCCACGTAACGTGACAGTTGGCACCGCCTAATAGTGTCGACATTTGTATCTAATTCTAGCCTTTCTAGTTGAAACAGTCTAGGATTTTTTGCTAATTGGACCAAGAGAATTCAAGAAATTCAACGAGTTGTTAGTGAAAATTAGGCTTTTGTAGATTTATTTTACTAATTTTTACGGTACCATCTGAAAAAAAAAAATACAGTTAAATTTTTGTTTTTCACTCGTCAAATTTGACTTAGAAACTGCATGTGCCGATTTAATGGTAAAAAAATGTGCATTATGGGACCAAAGATTCTAATTATTTATCCAAAACATTAAAAAAAATACTAAAAAAAAACAAAAGTTTTGACTTTTCATACAAGTTAGTGTCAGCAGTTCAAATGTGGAGGATGAAACAAACAATAGAAAGTTTAGATGCGGCTTTCTCATATCACGAGGACAAGCTTCAAATTTCCAGGCATCAAATTTGCCTGACGTGTGCCTAGTTGTAGCCATATCCGTGTCACATAACTGAAACTTGTCTATAGTTGAAAACCCAAAAAAGAAAGAAAGAAAGAAAGAAAGAAAATTGTCCATAAAATTAAAGCCCGTTTAGTAAAATTTTGTATTGTAGTAAAATTTAAATTATAAACTTAAATTAGTAAAATAAATGAGACCTTAAAATATAATTTAATATGACATTCTAAATGTAAAAACTGTTTTACGAGTGCCCACAAAAAGAGATTCGTTCAGTTTGGCAAAAACTCGTGAAAAAAAACTCTCACAGCCATCAATTGTAGGAAAATGCAAAGAGAAAAGGGGGAAATTGCACGTCTTGAATAAGTTCACTGTCAACTTTATTCATTCATTTTCAAAGAAACATGAATAAATTAGCTATATAACTCGAGGGCCCAATACAATGGATCTTATGATAATTGAAAACGAAATGGACCACCACATGACCCCTTTGGTAGCGATCCATATTATAATTATTATATACAACGAAAAAATGAGTAAAATTAAAGACATTTCAAGAAGAAAGAATGAGAAACGTGTGTTCTTCCCTATGGATGCAGAACTATGACGTTCAACTTGGATAAAACCTACAGCCCCCAAATGAAGGATTTCGAGAGGGCGAGGGAAAAGAATAATTTTACTTTGCCTCAACAAAACTTTTTAACTTGGATCATTGTCCCTATCACCAACAACAACTTTCCGGTGACGCCTCGAACCAGACCTCCTATCTCTCCCTCGCCGTGTTGTGACCCTTCTAGTTGGGGCATTAACAATACTTTCAGGGGATGTTTCGAGTAATACTGTCATTGGCGGTTCAATAATTGGAGCGGGAGGTGGAGGTGATGGCGGCGGTGGCGGCGGTGGTAGTACTGGTGGAGGAGGTGCATGAGCAGACAAGAGTTGCTCCATCACCTCTCTGTGATATTTCTGTAGGCAGCACAAAACAAAAACAACAAAAAGAGAGAACAGTCAGTAGCTAGTTCCTACAAGTTGCAAAACTATTTCCTTTGACATCACCAAAATGCTTTTTAAACTACACCTAAACCTTCTAATGATTATGCATTCTTTTGTCCGTGATATGACAACTTTAGTTAAGGATCTTCGAGGTTTTTTTTTTTTTTTTTTTTTTGTTTTGTTTTGTTACAGCGTTTAAAGGTCCACTTCTTTTAGGTTCAAATATTGCCAACATGAAAGGAAAAGAACATTTACATACTTAAGAGGTTAGTGCTACATCTAATAAATATGCCGAAAACTATGAGAAAACAACCAGAAACATACAAAACAAAAGATGCAGAGGGTAATGTCGCCCAAAACATTGAAGAAATCAGCAACGTCCCTTTCTTTAAATACTAACTTATTGTGTAAGAAGGATCAAACCCATGTATGCAAAAAGTATTACCTGAACAACAAAGTTACGCCTTTCACAGTCGAGGAACATATTGACAGTGTAATTTGTTTTTGCCCTAATCTTGTCCCTCGCAGTGGAAAAACTAATTTGGTCCCTGGAAGTAAATCTATCAACTTCATTGAACCAAAGACAAGTAAATAGGTTGCTGATAGGAACATGTTCCCTTAAAATAACACATCCTTCAGGAACGTCTGCAAGGCAACAATAAAACAGAAAAATTAAGCAAAATAAAATACACAATTACCAGTAAAAGACATAGGAAGTTGCACCAACCACTTGTAATGGGAAGCTTTTCTGGAGTATATGGAGTCAAACCCTCCTTTCTATAGAAATCAACCTGAAAGTCAATGGAGGCATTGTCATATTTTCCAGCAACTTTATTTGCCTCAGCTTCTACAAACACATCAAACCGTTTATAATGTCTTGAAATTGCAAAAGTTGCATTCTTCCTCCATAAGAACCTGAAATCAAATGCAAATGAAAAGAATACGGGGTCAAGGTACCATGAAATAAAAAATCAAAATAAGGGAGCATGTAGAACATCCCCCATCCTTTTAAAGGATGCATTTGTGCATTTCATCCAGTATCCAAACATTCGAAAAGTTCACAAATTAATTGCATCCAAAGAACAGATTTCAATTAGAAGGTTAAGAAGACATCGGTCATGTTTTTGCCTGGGTTTCACGTTAGTGCAGCATCTTATTCACACAATATGCGACAATATTCTTAAAAGCCATCTTGGAAACAAAAGTATATAGGACAATATGAACAAATGTAGCAGTACGAGAATTTAAATACAATCTTAGGAACATCACACTATATAAAGGAGGATTTTTTTTTTTTTCCCTGCAGTATTCCACAGCATACATAAGAAAACATACATACATAAACATTTGTGGTTAGCATTCTCTCAGTACAAAAATCCATTTATCCTTAAAGAAGATCAAGGCAATCGATTTCATTCCAAAAAGATTAAGTTGTCTTTAAATGAGAGAGAATCCTATAAATACCTGCAAACTTTCTAAAATGTATAAAGTGGAGAGGATTAATATGTTTGAAAATCTATACAAGAGAGAGAGAGAGAGAGATACCTTTCAAGAACTTGATACGGATCCACTACAAGCTCAAGTTTTCCATCAATCCACAATGAAAAGCGGGCATTGGGAAACAGCCTATGCATTAGAAGCTTGGGAATCTGTAACCAGAAATTTGCTTGAGAACAAAAAGGTACATCAAAGATATACTATGGTAACTGGACAGTGCACTGCTATTCGAGGCATAGTGAGAAAAAAGAAACTAGTCAGAAAAAGTTCAGAAATCTAACCTTTCCTGTGCGCCTGCCATCCTCGTAAGGAAGGTTACGAACAACAATGACTCTCCATACCCCAATTTTCCTATTGCTATCCATAGCACCAGTTTTCTTCACATAATCTTCTGTAATTTCATCAATAAACATGTAGAAGCAAACAGTCTCCTTGGAATATTCACTAATGTTCTTTGGCTGGTTTATCTCATCAAAATTTCCTAGAAAAAAAAATGGATATACTGGATGAGAAAATAGTAGTCTTCCTCTAGTTAAAAAGGGTTGAAACTAATCACATAGAACATTACCAAATATAGCCGATGCAACAACGACACCATGACACTGATCCATAGCAAGGAGGTCAATCTCATCTATATCAAATCCTGTATTGCGGCCTGGTTTAGCTCCTCTGACAAATCTGATTCATGTACAAATTCCACAATGAAATAACGGAAACCCCAGTCGAAGTATTCTTATAAATATAAAAAAGAAAAAAAAAATCTAAAAAGAAAAGATAAGACAGGAAAATCCATTATTAAGAAAAGCAGAGAAGAAAAAAGGACATACCCACAGTGCACACTCATAGACTCTCTTATATCGTAAGAATCGGCTCTATGTGCCAAAGTAGGATACCCACCAAACTCTGAGCCTCCAAATTCTGTCTCTCTAGATAAATTTTCTTCATAAATGTATGTCAAATTCTTAACGGGAGAAGGCGAGGGGACCTTTGGCATTAAAGCTACAGCTTCCTCCACAGGAAGATAACACACCGGACAAGCTGATAAACAAGAAAGAGAGCTCATTAGCTTAAACAATAAAAACAAAATTAAAAACAAAATCAGCAACATTATTTAGGCATGGTATTATCGATTCCATCTTTAGTACCCAGGTGTCCTTATCACCGTGGGGCAAGCATGGAACTAAAAGATCATATGCCAATCATAATGCACCAATTGCAAAACACCTCACCAAATATAAATTATTGAAATAAAGGTGAAGTAGGACTTACGCCGTGGTCCAGTTCTTTTCTTATCCGCGGGCGGGGGAGGCAAACTGAAACTATTACAAGGATGCCCTGGAGGCAGAGTGTACCCTAGGAAAACGGCAGGAGGAGGAGGCGGCAACACAACCGAATTTACTCCCACGCTATAAAAGCCGTTTCTTTGCTCTCCATACGTGGGTGAAAACTCGATGAAACCTAAACCCGCTGTGTTGTTGATAGCAATATTGTGAGCAGGATTGGCTTGTGAATCTTCACCTAATGGCAAAACAAAAAAAGAAAACGCATCTATATCACCAAAAGTTCTTGCCATCTAATTAGACATCTAAAACGAACACTACAATTAAGCACTTCACAATCTAATTAGACATCAAACAAGCATTCATTCTCCATATAAGAAAGTAGACCATTCTCACCATGCAGGCAAATTTTTACGTCTAAAACGAACTTCACACATTGAATTGCAACTATCAATTCTATATAAACACACACACACACACACACACACACAAAGAAACACCCAAAAAACCAAAAACATTACTATAACAAATTGCCTTCCACGAAAAACAGAAGCTATTCAGATAACCAATATAGAATGAATAAAAAAAAAAAAAAAAAAAGGACCTTTTCCGACGTACAAAACCAAGCCGAAAACCGCGGTGGAGATGAGGCAGAGAAGGAACATTCCGACCCCTTTCCGGCCGGCGAACTTGACGATCCAATGGACGAACCTATCCTTTTCCTTAAACATCTTCGTAGGTTTTCTCGAACTAGCTTGAATTGGCAATCCTCCATTCTTGTCGACCAGAGACCCATAACTGCCGGACCGAATCCCCAATCCCAATGACCCTCCAGTCATTGTCGCTCCAATCCCACTTCCTCAACTCTCATTGAAATTTTCCCCAATTCAATCACACACAATTTGCCCTAAAACCTCACTGATTCACCTTCCCACCAAAAACAAAAAAACAAAAAAACTTCTCTTTGAGAATGTACTTCGCAGAAACAATCTTGTGAAATCACTTGAAATTGTCAAAATTATTGGAATCCAAATTCGGTTCCAAGCAACAAACTACTTAAAAAAATTGAAAATTTCTGTTTAATCAGTAAAAATTAGTTTTTTCTTTGGGAAAAAAAGGAAAAATATGAACTTGGAATGGGAAAAAATATATATATATATATATATTAATATATATGTATATAGGGTTTTTGATTGGACGAAAAGGGGTTTTTGTTTGGCACGAATCTGGGTTTTGTATGAAAAACTGAGAAAATCCGAGATCACCAATACTGTGATTCTATTTACTCTTTTTTTTTCGGTTTTTTATTTCGTTTTTGCTAATATTGAGGTGATCTCAGGAGAGGAAATTTTATGCATTATTTATATGGTTGGTGATGGCTCTTAAAACATTTATTAGCGAAAAGAAAGATTTTTTAGAGAAATAAATACATGGAAAAAGCAATTTCCTCTCTTTCAAAAAAAAAAAAACATTGATTAGGCAATACTTGCATCATGTGCGTGATGTCTAACAATCAAGCTGCCGGTGATGTGTCTCCTTAGATGCCACGTAAGATTCGTCCTACCGCAATGGGAACGTGCCACCTGTCAAATTTATAAAAGTTCTTGTCAGACTTGTGGTAGTTTGCAATTGCATAGGTGAATTAATTGCGATAAAAAAAGAGGATTTATTTATTTTGTTTTTTATGGATAATTATTTGTTTATTTTTAATGAATAAATGTCCGAAAATTATTTAAGTCACGTTCATTTTATCGATTTTAATTTAGAATTTAAATTTTGTTACAATAAAAAATTTTAAAAATAATCACATTTAATTTTTTTATTATAATAAAAAACTCTCACATCAAGTCATATCTCAATTTAAATCAGCGAACAAAACATGTTCTTATTTATTTCTTTAACTTGAATTCGAAAGAGCTTATAGTTTGAATTATTTACTAATGGAACAAAACTGCAACTTCAGAATTATATATTGTGTTTTTAATAAACAAGTAAGAGTTTATGTTATTTCAAACAACATTTTGATTATTGTTGACTATAAATGATCTTTTTTTGTCAAAACTTCTTTTTAAAGGCAAAAAAAAAAAAAAAAGATTACTCATTTTACATGAACGTTTAGTTTATGGATTCAGAATCATAATTCAAAACTATTTTCGTTTTACATGTATTTTTTATGAAAAAAATACTATAAAAAATTATAAATTATTATTCAAAATAAAAGACGAATACAGAAAATAAACATGACTAGCTGATTCATCTAAATGAATTTCGTTCTATATCTAATAGATATTGACCGGCACTTTGTTTAAATCCTATTAATTAAAGAATAATTAAACCAACCATTTGATTATGTGATTTATTTATTTTCTGCCAATCTAATAAAACATAAAGCAAAATATTTGCAAATATTATACACACACAAATTTACAAACACGTATGTTTGTGTGACATGATTACAACAGCAGTAAGGTTAACACATAAAATAAGCAAGTCTCTAGTTAAAGAAAAAGGTTCCTAATAATAAACAAAATACAAAGCTCTCAGCAAAAAAAAACAAAACAAAAAACAAAAAAGAAAAAACTTTCAAGCAAAAAAAAAAAAAAAATACAACCCTTAAAAAAATACAAATACAATCCATCAAAAAAAATTGCAAACCTCATGGTGGCCGAAGTTTTCTTTTTTTTTTTTCAAAAAAAAAAATATATTAATAAACTTTTGGCCGGAGTAATTATTCTTAATAAAAAGCATAGAATATAAGTAGTGAATAAATTAATGACAGTAAACTAGTATAATTGGGAAAGTATGACCTAAATACAAATGATCAAATACAAATAAGAGCATCCACATAATATATTTGTCACACTTGCTAAGAACATATGTAGCCTTTTCCGATATGACAATGGAAGTTGACAAAGAACCGCCATAATGTTATATTTTTGTATTTGGATAGGAAAAAAGCTAACGCCTCGTTCATTTTGCGGATTTGAATTTTTAATTCGAGTTGAGATGTAACATTTTTTGAGAGCTTTTCACTGTAGTAGAAAGAGTTAAATGTGACATTTTTTGAAAGTTTTTAACTGTAGAAATTTAGAATTGAAAGCTCGAATCGATGAAATGAACGAGGCATATAATATAACACATAAATGAATACATTTGAATTTTGCAGAGTGACGTACCATGCTGCCACTAATTGATGCAATTTAATTTTACTCTTGGGGGGGACCATTCTGGCGTTCTTTTCATCCCTATCCCCTTCAAAAATTGCCGTGTTTTAAAAGATTTTGATTTGATCCATTGAACGCATTTCTGAAACTCAAATAATAAAATGCTTTTATTCCAAAACAAAGAAGAGAGAAATAGGTTTCCAAGCTGCCGTCGATTAACTAACAATACCTGTTAAAGACAATAGTAATTAATAAACGCAATTATCAATGATTAAAACATTCGTCGAATAATTCATTTGCTTGCTTTTTTTTCCCTCCATTTAAATTACAAAAACGATAGCAATTAATTGTAAACTATCACTACCGTCCACTTGATTCCACCCAATAAAAAAACAAAAAAGTGGGTTAGAAGTTGGGGGCCATGTTCTTCCCACTCCTCCAATCCGCAAACGCCACGTCATGTGATTAAGGTTGTAATATATATATATATATATATATATATATATATTGTTGCTAAGAAAGGTTGTAATGTACTTGAAATCATGTGCCTGTGGATTTCCTAGCCTATTGAAGAGGTCAACTTTCAAGTTCCCAAAGTATCGACTCAAGCCACTTTCTTGGTTGTTTTCATGGTGCTTATAATCAATTCTCACTGCGTTTTCATTTATTTTCTTCGCAGTTTTTATAAAAACAAGGGACCTATGAAATCAATCAATGTGCGAGTTATGGGGCAGAAAAGGGACCATATTTCTCCAGCCACATTGAAATTTAACTCCTAATAATGAGAGAGAAATAAGAAAAACGTTTATTTGTTCTCGTACGGACAAGCAACCGGGGCCAAAGGATCATTGTGGACCTGTGGTGTTGTTTGATAATGTTTATTTTTTGGGAATGAGGATGATTTGGTCAAGTTCTATTTTGGCTGCTTCAGTTTTGTTTTGTTTTTCGTTTTTTGTTTTTCATTTATCTGATTGTGCTCTTGCTTTTATTTGTTAGTGAGATTTATCTGTCGGTTTATGGCATTAAATGCCTCTTTTTTTTTTCTCTTTTTTTTCTTTTGTTCATTTGCATTCACTTAGATTTTTTAGGCCCCGTTTAATTTACACGTTTAAATTAATAATTTTGATTCATTAACAGACATTTTGTAAGATTTTTTTTTGAATTTAGGTTTTATGAGATAAAAAATACTATAATAAAATCAAAATCATAAATTCAAATATAAGAACCAAACAAAGTCATAGAATTAGAAAGAAACAAATATGTAATCATGTGTCCACTTGGCATTATGAGTTCATTTTGTTTGCCTTAAAGAGACACATTAAGAAAATTGCTCTTCGTTTTTAGCAACAAAAAATAAATAAAAATAGAAAGGGAAAAAAATTTCTCAAGGCTCATTTAGAAGGCGTACTTAAATTATAATTTTTAATTATGTCGTTTGAAATTTAAATTTTTTATGAGAAAAAAATACTGTAACATAATTAATTATTTGAGTTTAATTATATGAAACAGACAGATCTTTAACTTGAAGAAAAGAAAAAAAAATTAAGTAGTTGTAGACATTGTCTAACTTAACATAATAACACACTTAACTCCACCGTAAGTGTAGATTTTCCACGTCCTCGAATTATTATTATTTATCGGACTTGGTAATAATGTCCAATAACATTATAAAATGATATGCGAGAACATCCAATCATTTGCATTACTTATTTGAGAACATATAGTCGTTTGCATTATTAGGTATATAAGTGGTGTAGTTAAGTGGGCTTCTTTTAAGAAAATGGTCTGGCTTGCATATGAATTTGGACTAATCCGGAGCGGTAATTTCCAAGAATCCAGGAGCAGCACATAAAAATTAAGAATAAAATCATTTTAATATGCTCTATTGTAACAAAACATCTTGTTGGTGTCATGTATTTTTAATAATATTAAAACGGGTACATTTACCTTTAAAGAAAGGTTCTTTTAGTATCATGACACAAATTTTTGAGATATAAAATATTCATTCTACCATTCTCACTAATTAACAATTAATTAATAATTTAAAAAAAAAACTTAGAAATACTTTAAAACATTTAAAAACTAAAAATTAGAATAAGTTAGTCTAATTCAAAAGTATAATTTATATATTTACCATCTCTCTCCCCCTACGTGGCTAGGGTTTCTCTCGTCAAGAGGCTACTAGCAAGTCTGCATTTTGCAGGAGCTAGAGTTGACTGAGCCGCCTCCTGACGGTCTCCAGCCTCCCGGCTTTGTGTGGGTTTTGCTTTTCTTTTGGTTTTCTTACCTTGTTTTACAGGTAAATGGTGTTCCTCCACGGGTAAGGTGGATTTTGGCGGATTTGGATTTAGTTTTGCTTCGTGGTTTGCATTTCTCATGTTGTATGCTTTCGCCGGGAATGTCGCCAAGGTCACCGTGGTCAAGTTCATGCCATTGAAGGTGTCAGAAGTTTCCGATTTGCAGCCATGTAAGGGGGAGAGGCCGTTGTCGGCAAGATC